CAGGTTCCTATTTCCTGGCAAGTTCTTATTCCAGGCACAGTGCATCATTGCATAGCAAGTTCCTAATATGCATGGTAGGTGCTTGATCTCTGGCACGTACCTTATTTCCTGGTATGTTCCTTATTTCCGACAGATTCATTATTTCCTGCAGGTTCCTGATGTACGAACAGAGAGAGGGAGGGAGGGAGAGGAGATCCTCACCTTACACCTGTGATCTAGAGCTGCAGACAAGAGGCTCTTCTGGGACGAGCAGAAGGCAAGCTGTGAGATCGCTTTTGCATGCGCGTTGAACGAGTGCTGGCGGGAAGGTCAGGCGGGTAGGAAGGACTGACAGGAGGCAGGAGGGACCAGAAGGAGTGGAAGAGAACTCTCGCTTTGCTGATGCCATAACGAGACCTCCCCCTGAAACGAGCAAGTCGCCAAGTACGCCATGCTCTCTATGAAGAGAACCGCCGGAACCGCCTCCGTGTGCGCTTGAAACTGAAGGGCATTCGTGAGGGAAGAACGGTCGAGGGCGAGGAGGATCAGGAGGAAGAGGAGGCGACATGGTAGAGCTAGGAAGAGGAGGCAACATGGTAGAGCTAGGAAGAGGAGGCAACATGGTAGAGCTCGACGACTTGGACGCCAGTCTCGATGCTCTTGGGCACAAGAAATGAATAGACGCAGCCGCTTGCCGTCCCTACAAACAGCTGCGAGCTCTGAGAACCTGTGATGGAGAGCAGCGGAAGAAGCAGAGATAGGCAGGGGACCATGACGCGCAGGGCAGGAGGAAGAAGGGAGCAGGCGTGCAGAAGAGAACGAAGATGGAAGCATGGACAAGGAAAGGAAATGATGGGGGGGGGGGGGTGGACAAGGAAAGGACCGTACCTGCATGCCCTCAGGCCACCAGAAGGAGCAGGAGAGGATGTGAGGGGTCGGGATTGTCTGCCGGAGGTGGAAGGTGAACTTCCCCCAGAAGATGAGGCAGCCGTCAGCGCCGCTGGTCACGATGTAGTCCGAGCTCTCAAGGTCTGACACCAGCACGACAGAGGCTAGATGGCCTGTCTATCCCTTCAGCCTCCCCTGCTCTCCCACTCCTCGTCCCCACCAGCCATCTCGTGCGCCAGCGTCAATGTTTCTCCGTTGTAGAGCTGGAACGAGCCAGTCAGCTTGCGAGGAGGTGGGGTAGAAGGGTGTCAATGCGGTCAGCAAGACCTTCACTGAGTCGCTAGCGGGAGTGAAGACAGCGATGTGGTCCTGAAGGGCAGGTGAGAGGCAGCTGGAGGAGTAGAGGGGAACATGGGGGGAGGGAGCAGGAGCAAAGCTTCTCACAGTGTCGACAAGGCATGCGATGCCCTCCACCGGGCTGGCCGCGAGCTTGACTAGCGGCATCGACTCTGCCGTGCCGTCAGCAGCAGTGGGGAAGAGGTACAAGGAGAAGACCAGCAAGGTGGTAGGAGTGAACAGAGGTTTCATCCTCGTCCTGCTCACTCCTTGCAGTCACAGTCAGTCAACTTGTCACTTCACGCTCCGCCAACCCTGACGCTCCCTGCTCCCCACTCAAGTTGCTGGCGAAGAACTCCGCGACATCTGCCCATCTGATCCGCCCGTCCCCGTCCCCGTCGATCTCTGACTCGTGCGAGGGGTCAGCCAGCAGGAGGGAGGTGGGAAGCAACCTCGGAAGACGATTCTGAGCTGATCAGTCTCAGCCTGCAGGGAAGGGACGAGGGTCTTGACGTGCGTCAAGAACTGAGCCTCTCCCATCGCATGCAGATCTGCTGGGACAAACAGCCGTTGGAGGAGGCGCAGGTGATCTAGAGTGGAGTCAGCAAGCGAGAGACTCCGCTCCTACAACCACCTGGAGAGACGCTCTCGATGACTCGAGCCAAGTCTTGCTTCTGCTCAGTAGACGCGTCCCTCATGTCAAAGATGTCGCTGCTCCAGAACGACTTTCGCTTCTTCGTCCGGGACAGTTTCCTCTGGTGCGACATGCTAGCAACCTGATTCGCGCTGTACGAGTGTCAGGGCGTGTCGTCGAGAGGAGGAGGCAGTACCGGGTCTCAGAGAAGAAGAGGCTCTGATCCTCGCAGCAGGAAGAGATGTAGCTCTCACATACACTCGTTCTGATCAGATCGCGCTGACTCCTCCCTCTCTCCGTCTGGCTGATCACAGCAGGTACGTCCATGGCGTTGCTGCTCCTGTGCTGGAACCTTGGGGGAGGCTTATCCTTGGAGTTGATGTAGCGCCACAGTCTGTCTCGCCTCGCCCTTTTCATCTGCAGGACGATGTCTGGGTCCCGCTGGTTGTTCTCCAAGACAAGATGCGACCTGTCGATCAGCTCGCGAGCCTTGAAGGCTCTGAGCCAGGGCTCATCCATGGCTTGTCAGCAGGAGGCTAGGAGGCTAGGTGACAGCAGCATCACTTGCCAGGTCTGCTTCCTCCTCTTGCCTTTAGCAACATCTTCACATGTTGATATCATGCATTCCACTTGACTGCTCTGCTCTGCTCTGCTCTGCCTCCTGCTTCACCGTGCGGTCAAACCGTTGACAAGTTTCGAACTACCCCCTCCTCCGTTCGTACCCCTCCGAAAGTTATCCACCCACCGTCTGCTAGCAAGTACCCCCATAAACTACTAAATACACCCCACCTTCATACTGTACCTTTAGCCACCATTTCTACCCCTACCCCCCACGGCTACCCTATTACGCAATCAAATTTCAAGTCCTCGGCGCAGCATGTCCGACCGACGGAGGCAGCGGACGATGCATGCTGGAATCTCTTCCTGCCCTCCCTCCCTCCCCTCTCCCTCTCCCCCCCCTCCCCCTCTCTCCGCGTCCTCTCCCTTCCCTCCTCCTCACATCAACTTGTCGGCTCCATCCTGGCCGTCCTGCCCTGCCCCTGCACAAGCGATCTCGCCACCAGCCACCGAAATGCGCCAAGGATTTCAGCCAATGTCAGCCTCCTCGACCCATCGAGCTCCTCGCGCAACCTCCTCCCCGAGACGATCTCCCAGTCATGCTCCCTCCCACGTCATGGCGCATCCTTCTTCTACTCCAAGAACCCTCACTGTCGGTGAAGCCGAGAGCGAGCTCGAGGGTAACGCGGTGAGCTTGGAGGAACGGGAAGGCCTCCTGGTGTTTGCAGGAGGGAGGCTGGTGAGCCGTAGGAGCTCTCAGGATGTGCTGCTCTGTGCACAAGCATCGAAGCCATTGGGGTCGCTCAAGGGCTCAGTGAAGTACTTCGAAGTCTCCATCCTCCTTATGGCTCAGTCCGAGTTCGGGATCACCATCGGGTAAGCCTCGCAGCATGAGTCTTCCCGCCCTCTTTGACTCTCTTGCTCGCGCAGCCTGGCGCTGAAGGGGATGGACGGGAAGCAGCCGGGGAGCGAAGCCAAGACAGTCGGGTGAGTGAGCGAGCGAGCTGAGTTGAGAGTTGGAGAGGGAGGGCTGACTGGTGTGCGGATGACAGGTACTCGTCCAACGGACTTGTCTTCGTCGGGACTCCCAACAGCGGTCAGCGCTTCGGCTATCACTTTGGCGTTGGAGACACCATAGGGTGCGGCTTCGACTGCAACAGTCGGGACCTCTTCTTCACCAGGAACGGAGTGAGGATGTCCTCCAACTCAGACCTGCGGAACTTCAAAGAGGATGTGATCCACAGGCTGCATCCCACCGTTTCCTTGTCCTCGCAGTACGATACTGTTGTCCTCAACTTCGACTACGACTTCAAGTACAACAACCCGCTTCTCACCAAGCTCCCCGTATCTCTCTCGCCGGCGAAGCAGAGCCTGGGATCAGAGGACGTGGAGTACGAGGAGGGAGTGAAGCCGCTGCGATCAGATCGGCTGACGTTGAGGGTGATCAAGGAGAGCCTCTCAGAGGACGGGCTTCCTCCTTCCCATCGAGTCATCCGCATCAGCATGCACTTGCAGATGCCCCACGTGCCACCAGGCATGGTCTACTACGAGATGTCGCTCCTCTCCTGCTCCTCCTGCGCACTCGATGGCTCGCGCAAGCCTCCTGACCTCCGCATCGGCATGCAGGCCAACGACTCAGCCTTGCGGACGGGCTTCGTGCCCTTCGCTCCCAAGTCGGTGACGTACAAGAGTGACGACGGGTTGACTTACTGCGGGTACAAACCTCGGCGGCTGACGTGCGGAGAACTCAACATCAACTCATACGGGGAGGGGGACGTGATCGGATGCGGCGCCATCCCGCACCTCAACCTCGTCTTCTTCTGCCTCAACGGCAACTTCCTCGGGTTCCTTCACGTGGGCTGGCTCATGGACTCTCCGTTTCAAGGATTCGCGCTGCTGCAGCATGCCGGGGACATGGCGCGATTCAACCCGGGGGTGAACAAGTTCGCGGTCTCGTACAACAACCTCAAGTGGGTCATGGCGATCGCCGAGGCTGCGCGAGTGGACGCGGCCATGCTGGACGACTATCACGTGCTAGAGATGCGAGATGAGCAGCCGGCGAAACAAGACGCGGTCCGAGCATCCATGGAGAAGCTGGTGGCAGGGAGGTTCGAGGGGCTAACGCAGATCCCTCTTGAGGAGGTAAAGTCGACCATGCAGACCATGGTCGATCGATACTCCAACGAACTTGCGCGGATCAAAGTGAAGCACGAGTCGGAGAAGGGAAGGATGAAGGCAAAGATCCGCTACCTCTCCTCCAGAACATCCTTCCCACCCAGCTCTGCCCATCAGGACTACACGAATGCCTGGGAAGCTCAAGTGGAGATGAAAGAAGAGCAGAAACTGCGACAATCGTACTCGAGCAACGCGTTGAAAGAGCGCAATGCTGTCTACCGGAGCAGCATTTCACTGGGCGAAGCGGATCAGGCTCAGCAGCCCGACAGTCATCACAATGAAAATCGAACAGACTCAGACAACAACATCACCAACTCTCGGAGGCCCTCAAAGACAGATTTGCAGAGTCCGCAAACACCTTCCAAGTTTCGATCAAGGTCACTTCTCCTTCCCTTCTCCTCCCTCCTCTCAACACTGTGCAGATGCACCAACGGATCTACATTACTGAGTCAGACTGCTGCTACTCAAGCTCATTTTATCGAAACACAGAAGTTCTCAAAGATTACATCAAGGTTTTGTCCTGACAAGGCTGCAGGAAATTTGGAAGCGTCATTCAGAACGTGCGGGAGGCCACGAGCAAGAGCACGTGAGACGTTGATATTGCTTCTCCTTCTCTTCTCTGACAGGCTCACCTCAGAAGCAACTCCGCCAAAGAGGACAAGGTTCCTCATGTCCTAGTCACGCTCCTGCTCCTGCTCCTGCTGCTCCTGCCCCTGCTCCTGCTCCTGCTCCTGCTCCTGACATGCGTTTCTAGTTGTGGAGTAGCACTCCGAGGTTGTCAGGCGTGAAGAAGAAGGTTTGTCTCCTGTTCTTGATCCCCCTCATCGCCTCTTGCACAGGTCGACTGTCGCTTGGAAGCAGCTGAAGTTCAGGCCCTCTATCCCTATGATCGCTCCCTCCATCGCTGGAGCCACAAGAGCGACAGACAGCTCTCCCCATCCTCTCCCTCGCCTTCTCGATCAAGTTTGCACCCTCTAGGCTATACTCCGCTCACCTACACTCCAGCTCAGCGCCCAAGTTCTGCTCCCTCCAAGCCAAGGCCGTCGGTCAGGTCAAAGTCCAAGACGCCTGTCCGGTATGTTTGCTGTCTCCTCCCATCTTCTATGCCGTTGATGGTCCACCAGCGACTCAGGTCGCTCGCCATGGCTGCTGGCCGACATACGAGACGACGAAAGAGGGGCACAAAAGCCGCTGGAGGATGAGCTCGAGGAGATTCGAAAAGGTTTCCGCAGGTTCCTGCCGTCCAATGCCCGCGCGTAGCAGAGGCAGCAGCAGTCAGCTGCCCAGCGACTCACTTACTTTCTTGCCGTCCGGTCTGTAAAGCCTGCAAGAACTCGAGGTCCTGCAGTATCATGCTCTCAACCTCGTCATCTGTCCGCGGCTTCCTCGGCACGCGAGCTGAGCTCCATCGCAGAGGCTCGTGCGGCTTCTCGGGGCTGAGGGAGCTCATGGACTGCGAGACTTTGAACTTCCTTCCCCGCTTGAAGTAGGATCCTCCCGCGTTTCCCTCCCCCTCACCTTCTGTCCTGCCTCTGTCAACTTTCCTACGATCATGCTCGATGTCTTTGCGGAGCACCAGCAACTTCTCAAGAGAGTCTCGCTCCAACATCAGCTCCCTCATACATCTCTCCTGCACCTCAACATCGTTCTCCAGCTCCTGCACTTTGCGCGTCAACTCCACGACCTCCTGCGACAGAAGCATCGATTTCTTCTTGAGCCTGTCCTCCCTATCCAACACAATCCCTTTCTCCTCACGAAGAAGCAGGATCTTCCTGTCTCGCTGTACAATCTCTTCTTGCATCTCGTTCATCTTTGCGTTCTTCTTCAGCTGCAGATCATGTAGCTCCCGTTCAGCGTTCTCGTATTTGATCCTCCACATTTCAATCTCTTTTCGAGCTTTCTCATCGTTGGCGTGCAATGCTTCGATAGTCTCTGCTCGCTCAAGCAGCTCTTTCTCCATCCGATGTTTCTCACTGTTGCTTGTCTCGAGCGATTTCTCCAAGGCTGAATGCGACTTCTTCAAGGGAGCGAACAAGAAGTCAAAGTCTCGAAGTTTCTCCTCACTCACATCAAGTTTTTTACGCGTCTCGTACGTCTCCTTGCGAGCACTGTTCACCTTCACATAGAGGTCTGACACTTGTCCGCGCAGTTGTGAGTTCTCCTTTCTCAGCTCCTGTATCTTGACATTGCCAGCGTCAACGTCAATCTTGAGATGGTTTGCGTACGCCTGCAGTTTCTTCATCTCAACGGCTTGCTTCTCGTGTGCCTCAACGGCTTGCTGTAACCTCTCCGTCTTGTCTCTCAGGCTCAGTTTCGTCTCTTCGAACTTTGACTTCCATTCGCTCACTTCCTTCCCCTTCTCGTTCTGAAACTGCACGTACCGTTTGCGAGCTTCGGACTCTGAGTTCTTGAGATCCGCGCGCAGCTGCTCGAGCTTTTCTTCCTTCTCTTCCAGCTTGGTGTGCAGCATTGAGATCTCTTGCTTCAGCTGCACCTTCTTCGCCTCCTCCCCCTCCAGCTGCGAGCTCAGGTTTTGCGTCCACACGGAGAACTTCTCCAGCTTGGCCTTGTTGGCTCGTTCAAGGTCTGAGAGCTGCGAGCTCAGCTGCTGGATCTCCGCCTTCTTTGATCGCACTTCGTTTTGAGCTTGCAGCAGGTTACTCTCAGTCACTCTGATCTTGTTTTCATACTGGCGCACAACATTCACGAGCTGAACGATCTTGGACTGGAAGCGGGAGACGTCAGACGGCATGGAGTCAAGCTTCTCCAGCGACTGACTGAGCAGATCTAATTCGGCATCTTCATCTTCCTGCGGGAGCATTGCATCTCCTCTGGAGGAAGCAGCCTTGTCCTCTCCGAAGGCATCGATGATATTCTCAAGCAAGTTACACGCGTTGTTTGTCATGAGATACATCTGATCTAGCGATGCCGCTTCTGACTTGCCTTCTCCATTCATCCTTGACTAGAGCAAGCTTCAAGGCAAGCGCTTGATACAAGATGAGTCTTTTTTTATTGACTCGCCGCTTCTAACTCACTTCTCGTCGCTCTCTTCTCTTGTCACCTTCTCCTTCTCCGACACTCGTCTTCAACTCAGCTCTCCTCCTCCTCCTCTTCTTCTCGCCTCCTCTCTTCCATCCCTTCCCTCAGTTGCTGCATGGCGGCCCTACACAGGCTTGCCCTTGTCTCCTCCACCCCCCACTTTGACCAGGGTATCACCCCACCCACCTCGCGGGACCGTTACATCGCGCGCACTAATTGATAAAACGGACCAAATGAGGGCAAGCGCGACAAGTACGGGGGTCTGAGGCGGGTCTGAGGCGAGTGGTCTTTCTCTCAGTACTCTTGTTGTCTCTTACGGAGGGTGCGACGGAACAAGGAGTCGCCAGAGGGAGACTGACACCAGGCAAGTCACCGCCATGCTACGCTCCTCCTCCTCCTCCTCCTCTCCTCACCGTCTCCTCCCCTTCCAGAAGCTCATCGTCCACTGCGAATTGAGGCTGCACAACAAGCTCGTCAGGACGGGTCGACGCACACACTGCGCCTTAACCAAGGGCTTGACGTTTCCAAGAGCCGCAGCACAGGCTTGAGCCTGCATGGGCTGTCAGGGGAGGTCATGGCATGGAATGGCACCTGTCGCTTGAAGTCTAGTTCAGCCAAACGAGGAGGCCCATGAGAGGAAAACTTCTCAGTGAGGATAGAGTCCTCGTCTCTCTTTGGCTTCTCGGCCTCTTCATTGGGGGGAGGGTCCTTTGCGAGATCTTTCTCTACGACGATGCCGCTAAAAGCCGGTCGTGAAGGACCATCCTCCATCTGCTCCAACCTCTTCAGCTTGTCCAACTCTTCTAGAAGATGCTTCCTATGGCCCAGCGAGAATTTCAACTCCTTCAAGTCCTCAGACTGAAGCTGAAGCAGAGCCTGCTCTCATATCAGCATTGCACGGCAACATCTGTCAGCAGATATCATACCTTGCCGTCAATGTCTTCTTTGGCCATGCTCTCTTTGTACATGTCGGTCTTCTCCCCAAAAGTCGGTCTGAACGATTCAAGGAATTGCAGGACACCCTGCGTAGTCCAAGACCTGACGGCAAGCGTTCACACCGATGCTGAAAGATGGCAGGGCATACGATGCTTTCGTCGGCTCTTTCTTTACAGACCTGGGATCTGAGAAAGAAGTGAAACCCTGACAAGAGTAGAGTGATGCACAACCCTGCACAGCTTGGAGGTCATAAAACCCATTGTGTCCCACGGAATAGGAGTAGTCAAAGGCTTCGTTCTCATCCCAGCGGACATGGCAGACTTTTCCTCCATTTCCAACCCACTGCAGTCGATCAGGACATGCGAGTCACATGCGATGATACCTGAATCGTTCCGCAGCCTTTCTCGCCCTTGATCCCACTCCCCAAGCAGCTCGCCGCCAGGCGAACTCGAAGGCCACAGACGGCTTTCTGGGAGCAAGTCCAGTGAAGGAAAGAGACATCAAGGAGAAAACTGCACCTGCATCAATGGCTCTGCTCCTACCAAAACTTCTTTTCCTGCCTCGGCATGTCACAAGCTGCCCAGGCTCAACGGACGTGCTGAGAGGTTTCGTCACCTTGACTTGGCGGCTTGTTCATCGCTGGAGCTTTGCAAGGGTAAGCTAGAGGAACAAGGGAGGACTCGGACCTGAGGCAGACGAGTTGCTCACGCAAGACTGGGGAGTCACTTGCTCAGAGTCTTTCTGCTGGAGCCATCAGGCGCAAGAGCTTGTCGTGCGTCAGCACACGTACAGGCTTGAGGTACTTGGGGATCTTCTCAAGGATCGTGCTTGGCACCTTCGCCTGTGCTGGCACTGGCGCCTCCTCCTTGAATTCCTTGACAAGACCCGAGGGACCGGGAAACAGCCTTGTGCACATGAGCAGGTCTGCGGCATGCGGGGGGAACACACCTTTGCTCTTCTACAGAAATGTTCTGCTTCGAGGGTGGAGAGCTGGGCAGCTGTAAGAAGGAAGTTCTATGAATGCTACTCACAGACCTGCTCGAGTTCACCTGCCGTGGTATCGCGACATCAGGCGCAGGAAGCATACGCGGCTCAAGTGCTTACTGACCTTGCCTGCTTCCAGCGCTCGCGGGGGAGGCATCTTCGAGTCGTTGATCTCCGTCGAGAAGCCACGCGAAGCAGCTTCAGCGAACCAGCGAGACGCCTGAGCCAGTCACGAGGGACTCGCTGAGAGCTGGCAACACCTTAGAAGTGTCTCGAGCGACGCCCACACCCTCCGCGTAGAGGCAGCCGAGGTTGTACATGGCCTGCGCGTCCCCCAAGTTTGCCGCCTGTGACTTCTCAGCCTCCTCGCCCCTTCCCCCGCTTGCCTCACCCGCCAGAACCACTTGGCTGCCTTGTGCTCGTCTTTGACTACCCCGACCCCGTCCTACACAAGGAGCATTAGCAAGAGACCTCACCCTCCTCCCGGCGTTCCATGTAGGCAATGGCGAGGTTGTACTGGGCCTTGGTGTCGTTCTGTCGCGCTGCCTTGGCGTACCTGCAGGTAGCGGTCAGGCACGAGCGCGTCGGTGGCAAGGAGAACCATTTCACAGCCATGTAGGGGTCCTTGTCCACCCCAACCCCTTCCATGTAGCACACCTGCCATGACGTCAGAGGCTCAGGGTCTCGTTGGAGTCGCAAGACCCCCAGCATCCTCTGCGCCCGCATGTCGTCCTGCAGTCGGAGATCTCACTTGCACATCTTCATCTTGCCTCTCCTCACCTGCTGCGCGGCTTTCTCATACCAGAGCGCGGCCTCCGTCACGTTCGGAGGGCCTCCCTTCCCTTTCCCGGACAAGTAAATCGCGAGGTTGACCTGCGCACGCGCGTGTCCTTGTTCCGCCGCCTTTCTGAAGTAGAACCTTGCTTGTGTCTGGTTCACATCCACTCCCTGCATGCAGGTCATGACAGGCAAACAACTTTTGAACTCCTCACTTTTCCTTCAGCATAGTAGCACCCGATGTTGTATTGTGCATCCATCACGTTGTCTTTGTCGGCCAGCAGCTTCAAGAAGTTGAAGGTCTTTGAAAGGCGTCAGGTCGACCTTGACAGGTTGTCTCGATCCACCTTGGTATTGTTGATGTTCAAGGTGTCCCGATTGAGCGAAGTCTGATTGAAATTGACCCAATCCTGACAACCGGGGCCGTCAGGAGCGCTACTGGAAGGTACAAGCAAACCTCTAGGCCTGACTTGTAATCTGTCTTTGAGGGAGGATGTGGATCTTGATGAGATGTCAAGATAAGAAAGAAGTCTCAACTTTCACCTCTGAGAGTGCGAAGAACATCCGGAGGGAGCGAGTCGAGAACAGCATTGACATCCCTCACCATCTCGTGCGCCTTGTTATAACACTGCGAGAGTTCTCTCTTGACAACTTCATCAGACGGTCTCTGACGAAACACTTGCTACAACAGCAACATCACTTGAACATTCTCTTTGCAATCTGATCTTCACCAGGAAGAAGAATTTTGCTTCCTCCATCTTCTGCAAAGACCTGTAGGCTATTCCAGCTCGATAAAGCGCCTTCGCACACTATGAATGGGAGCAAGCAAGTACCATCAATGATTCATCGCACCTTGGTGTTGTTCTGGTCGATCTTCAAGGCCCTTTCGCATGCTACGATGCATTGCTGATACCGCTGAGACTTCAGGTGAGCAAACGCCATATTGATCTAGATGTCGGCACGACTCAGGACAACACAAATGAACATGAGCGAAGATCACGTTAATCTTCACGAACTCCGACTGAGTTTTCGAAGTCTGGAGATCCTGCGACTCTTCTGACACCAGATCTTCAATATATTGCAGAGCCTTGCCATACTTGGCGATAGCCAGCTGCCAAGCAATCAGCTGATATGAGGGTCTTGAGAGGATTGAGAGTACATCGTATAGAGACATGTTCAGCGCGTCATTCCCCATGTTTTTCAGGGCAATAGCAGCTTCTGTCCTGCAGATTTCATCCAATACATGCTCTTCTTCGAGCGTGGCGGGGGAAATCTTTCCTATGTTCTCTGCTCGTTCCACCCTTGTAATCCCCTGCCAAGAGACGTCAGAAGAAGAGCTCGTTGCGTCTAAACCAGGAGCTAGAGATCCTCTACCTTGTTTGTCTTCTCATCATTCTCTAACTTGACGACGTAAGATTTCCCCACCTCCTCGCCATTTCGCAAGGCCCCGTCATCATCGCAAGCAACCACCTTGCAGAACCTCTTGGAGCCATCGTTTCTTACGATGACAGCCATCTCGTTCGAGTCGAAGTTGTTGTGCAAGGATCGAGTATAGGTGAAGTTTTTCGGCACCAACAGACCGACGTGCGTCTCCTTTAGTTTCCATCTTCTCCAATCCGACGGAAACCCATCGAAGAGGCCTTGGGGGTCTATCAAAGTCTCGTACTGAGACTGGTTCCCTCCACTCAGCATGGTCTCTTCTATCCTTCGCTCCCACATGTTGTCCATGGAGCCGGCAGCATGGATCTCCTGGAGCTCCTTCTCATCAAATTTGTCGCTCAGCAGCGGCAGGTCCTCCAACGCCCCATTTCCTCCTCGCAGCCTCAGCATCTTCCCTCCTCTTGCCATGGCTCGCAGGCCAGCAAGAGGCGATGCAGGAAGAGGCCACGCTCGTCTCTCCTCTCTCCTCACCATCCTCTCGTAGCCCCTCGCCATCCCCCCCAGCCATGCAGCCATCAGGACCGTCAGCCTCCCCGCCCCCCGCATTGCGCCTCTAGCGAGGTGTGGGTACCTTGTAAAACCAGGGGTCCAGGCACCTTAAGTAAGGAATGCCATGCTGCGGAGAGGCTTGACGGAGGGCTGGCGAGGGAGGAAGAGGTGGAGGCTGCGAGAGCTGGTGGAGGAGGTAGGAGATCGTCTCTTTCTGCAAGGCCACGACGAGGAGGGTGCGCCGGCCCTGACGACGCTCAGAGACTTCATGCGTGAGAGCCCGGACAGAGTCGGGGAGGCTCAGATCTTTGATCCGGCCTTCGAGGAGGACTGCCCTGAGCTGCTGCTCGACTTCGATGTCCCTCCTGACTTTGCTGGGCGTAACGATCTCTTCCACCTCCTTGGCCCTCAACGCCCAGACTTTCGTTGGTTCCTCGTGGGTCGGGCAGGGCAGCAAACGCCTTGGCACGTCGACCCGCTGGGCACCAGCGCATGGCATGCGCTGATGGAGGGAGAGAAGCGGTGGAGGGTTCTGGAACCCAAGGACCTGCATGCTTGGCAAGAGAGAGTGTTCGAAGCGAAGGAGATGTCCAGTCGCAGACTTGTTGATGAAGCGAAGCAGCAGGGGCATGGTTGGATTGAGATCTTGCAGAGACCCGGGGATGTGGTAGTGATTCCGAGCAGCTACCCACATGAAGGTTGGTGTCTGCTGTTGCTATACCTTCTATCAGTGACTCGCTTGCGTGCGGGCGCTCAGTCACAAACTTGCAAGACTCTGTTGCTATCACGCAGAACTTTGTGAATGAGAGCAATCTTGTGTACGCCTACAGGTAAAGGCGTAAAGCTTTGCGGGTAAAGCCGGGCCGATCAGCGGTTAGTTGACGTGAGGGTGAGCAGGTTCTTGAAGAGAGCATGTCCAGACAAAGCAGCGAGGTCGAACGCGGAAGACCCACCAACTTGTTGACCTGACGGTTTGGGCAGATTCCAAGAGCTTTTGCAACAGCACATGCCAGATCTTTCAACGCTGATACAAGAGAGAGGGTTTCGTGACAGCAGCATGGTGACTGCAGGAGGCAAGAGACAAGAGCGTGAGAACTCACATCTCAAAGAATACACTTGAAAGATACAGCTAGAATACACTCGGCGAGGTCAGTTGAAGCTACCTGATTCTAAAGCCGACACGCCATTTTCATATGCAACCAGCAGATTGATGGCGGCTGAAAGGATTTGATCAGGACCAAGACACCGTGAGGAGAGAACGTACTGGATATCGTTGAGTTCAGTTGCTTCTCGATCGATCCTCTCTCGACGTCGCCCTGGTTCTTCAGGTCTTCGAGTTCAGCCCGGGATTCCTGGAGCGATGACGTCACGGCACAAGCAGCTGTGCGGCGGGAACCTTCCTGGATCATCTCATGCAACTTGGCGGAGAGACTCTCTGCCTGTGATCTTGCTCTGCAACACCGTCAGGCCGTTGCCGACGTGCGTGACGCGTCTTACTTGACCAGCGCCGCCGACACCGAAGAATTGGTTCTTTGAAACTGAGCTTGGAGATCCTTCCTGTGCCAACAACGTGTGAGTCTGACCACAAGGCATCGATCGAAAGGAACCAACCAGCGACTGTCAAACTGTAATGAGGCCGTCGCGTTGAATTCTTGAGAGCTCTTCTCCACTGCTGTTATCTTTCTGATGAAATCGAGGGATCAACGAATGCACACAGCCATCTGTCTCGTACCCCCGCAGCTCATTGACGATGTCGTCTTCATGATGTTTCATCTCTCTGTTTTCATTCACAGCATCTTGCATAGATTTCTGCATTCCGGTCAGAAAAACATCAGTCCTCTCGACAGCAACCATGGATTTCGAAGTCCATTCGTTTTGTTGGTTCTTGACGTAGTCAACCTTGAGACATGACATAAGGGCAAGGCCGCGACTTTACTTGCAAACCTTGTTTGACAAGTCCTTGAGCTCTTTGGCTCCCGCGTCCCGATCTTCGTCAATCTGCTGTCTGTCGCCAAGCATCAGGATAAAATACGGTCGCCAAGCAATAACATGTGAGCCCAACCTCAATCGCTCTTCTTCAGTGTCCCTGCTCTCCTTCAGCTCATTAAGAAGTGACGATACGCTCTGAGTGTCTGTTGAGACCTAGACACGAATCTAAGCCAATCTTCACGAAAGAGTGCGTTCAGTTACATTCGAATTCAAATCATGAATCTGCAGCTGCAACAAGGCGCGATCAGGATAGCTATGAAAGTTGATAAAGGAGCAACCTGAAGCTGAGAAGTGGATAGCTCCAATTGACGGCGTATGAGGTCTAGACTGCTCGACACATGCTTAGCTGTTGATGTGTAGTTGCCTTCCAGCGCCTTAATTCGATTCCGCATGTTCATCAACTTCATCTTGGACTCGCGGAACTCCTGCTGCAAGCTCAAGAACTTCTTGTCATCATTGCGCTTGACGTCTATCAGCGATGCATTGAGACTATCGATGCCTCCCAGAATTTGGTCCTCTTTCATGTCAAGTTCTCGTTTGACTTGGTGGATCTTGTTCCGGATCTTAGAATGAGAACCGACGATCTGCTCGCTTTGCTCCTTAGCATCGTGAATGATCTTGTCAAAAGCCTGAGCCTCTTTAGCCTCATCTCCTTCATCCTTGTTCTTTGCAGCATCTATATTCTGCAGTTCGCGTTCCATCAAATTTCTTGTCAGCTCCTTCAATCTCATCCTCAGTTTCTTTCGTATCGCAAGCACAGCTGCGAGCTGATCGGAGAGCGAAGATTTCGTGGTCTCTGCATACTTTGACAGTCTTGTGTCTACAAGTTTCAGAGCCAGAGATGTTCGAGCTAGTTTGCTGTTCAACGACAGGGAACGGCAGGAGAACAAAAGTACCTATTGCCTTGCTGATGGAACGTTGGAACGTCTGAGATAACCTCCTGTCGTCTTTCAAGTGACGCGCTGCCTCTCTATCAACAGACTTGGAAAGTCTAGCAAGCATCCTGCGGATATGCCGCTTCTCTTCGTTCAGTGTCGACTGTATCTCCATCCCCTTCTCGCTCTCCCTAAGTAAAAGATCACACCGGAGCTACCAGGAATAACAAGCTTGATAGGAGCAAGCAACACCTTGTAGCAACAGCTCGGATGCCTTGCCACTCCTCCTTGTCCCTTGAGCTCAGAGCTGCCAATCTCCTCTCGAGCCGCTCGAAGTTGAGCTGAAGCGACGCTGAGCCATAGAGGACACTGCCGTTCTCCTGCTTGTTAAGACACCTCACAATCAAGATGGCTGCGAGACAGCCTAGCATGCAGGCAACTGGCAGGCGCCATGTCTGAGCCATGCGCGACTCGGGGTCAAACTTGCCTTGCCTGGACCTCTCTCCCTCTCATCTCGCGCTCCCTTCCAGCATCTCGCTAATTCCGGAACAGTGGCTGGCAAAATTTGAGAAGCTCCGGGCCAGCTAGGTAGCTGACAACCTTTGCACTTCTGAGGCGGATCCACCGACAGTCATGGACGCGGCCGTTACAGAGGCGTTGCAGGAGCCGTTGGATATGCAGACAGTGGGGGGATGAGGGTCACCCGTCATGAAGGGTTGCGGCAGCAGGGCCAAGGGGAGGGAGGGGAGGAGGAGAGAATGCAGAGGCGAGAAAAGAGAAGAGGAGAGAAGAGAGATCAAAGCTGAAGAGAAGAACTTTGCCGACACCAAAGAAAATTCAAAGATAGCACTAGAGGAAAATTCCAGAAGATTTGTCAACGACGAAGTTGGGACAAAATAGAGCAGCAGGATGAAAAGAAGATCGGCGAGAAGTGAATGACGGGAAAAGGCAAAAAAACTAGTAGAGCATTGAGGATTTAGGTTGCTGATCCGAATAATATTGATACAAAAGATCGGTGTACTCGAGAAAGAAATTACTGCCGTACAACAAAGTTTAATGGAACCGTGTCGACGTGTTCAAAACCAATGTAACAACCAATCTCAATGTTGAGGTCTCATTGCTGGGTGGTTTCAGGATGTTCGGCAAGTTGCATTCGAAGGACCCGTATCAGGCAGAGTTGAACCATCTGTCAGTAGACGCTCTCTCCATCGGAGATCTTCCTCCAGGCAAGCTACTCCTCATCTTCCTCTGACGCCTCATGACTTGTGCAGGAATGAAACTCGGCGGCGGCTCGAAGCTTCATTTTGATTCTCGTTCCCCCTCATGGAACCCTGACCGCCTTGGCTTCAACATGCAGAGTGCTGGCCCTCCTCTCGGAGTCGTTTGAATGTGCCAGGGACAATCAGAATGTTGGCCACGATGTTTTTTCTGTTTCTGCATCTTCAGTTTGCTCTGTGAACGTTCGTTGGCTCTATGGACATTCATCATTGTATGTTTGAAGGAAATGTGATAATTTCGATGTGTTTCTATGCCCTCAAGCGCTCATCTCGTTCTTACTGATCGGCGTGTAGAGCTCTACTTGCATGCTCGACGCGACGGCCAGCACACAACTGCGAGGGTCACCGTAAGCAGAGGGTGCAAGCAGTCTCTTTCACCTCCTGTCGTCCTCATAGCTCACGATCGCTGTTCCTGCGCTTTCTGCCAGCCCGCGGCTGACAGCAGCCCCTGCGACGTGTTGGGAGAGCGAGATGGAGGGTGAGGAGACGGTCACCTGAGGAGACGTCGTAGATGGAGATGACATCTAAAAATTGGGCTGAGTGTTGGCATCCTTGACCTCCCCTCTTTACCTGTCTTCTCCCCCGTGGTCACCACGTACTTTCCCTCATGCAGGAAGCTGGCTCGGTGCATCCCCTTCACGCGCGCTTCTCTCGGGACGAGATGGTGACCCACCTGCCTGACGGTCACGTGATCACCTTGCTCCACAAGCTACAGACAAGCGAGTGAAGACAGACGTCGACCCTTCTCGTGTCCCAGATCTTGAGATCCTGCCAACCCGTCACGGCGTTTTTCTCTCTCCTATTCTCTCAGCTCACAGCGTCGAAGCTAGAGGACAGCAGCAGAAACTCGTTGGTCGGGCTCCACCTGCGCCCAGTCTCAGAGAAGTTTCATTCGACCTTCTAGCTTACTGCACGAAGTTGACGCAGCTTCTGGCCGCTGATTCGACGCGTAGGGAAGGGGAGCGGGAGCGGAGGTCGGAAACCTGGATGGCCTGGGCGAGGGTGACAGGAAGAAGACAAGCCAGGCACCAACATAGTCGTTGCCGCTCGATGCGAGGATAGTTCCCTCCTGTATCTGTTATGAGCCTCGACAGGGCAGGGATCGTTACACGCACAGCTTGCATGCCATGGAGAGCTTGAAACCTCACGCACTTGATCACTTGCCCCTGCTGCCTTTCACTTGCCCAGCCCTCTAGTCCATCAGCTTCACCTCATGCAGCCCTACAAGTGTCCTCTGCGAGCTCAACTGAGAGTCGACGATCTGAGGGAAGGACATGAGCTCGTGCGGCTGGAGGGTCGACTACCTGTGATATGACGATGTTGCCGTCCTTCCCTGCACTCCCGATCGTTCCTCCTACCTCATGAAGGCTGAAAATGCCTCCGTCATGCGCCGCAAGCGATGCAACCTGCCCAATTTGTGAACGACCAGCAACTGCCAGCAACTGCCAGCAACTGCTAACGTTTCAACCTGCTTGGGTAACATTCGCTTGCCAGATGAAGCTGAGAGGTTGAGATCCCAGACGGTGATCTAGGTGAAACCATTGGGAGGTATCGGAGCAGCTCAGAGCTTACCGCCTTGTCATTAGACGCTGTTAGCAAGAGGTTTTGGTCTTCCTGCTGGTAGGACAAGAACTGCAGAACCATGAGGCAGTTTCTATCAGGGGCGGAATTTGCCTGAATCTCTCCTATCCATCCTGAGTGAGCTCGCCAGGAGATGAGGCTCGAGTCGCCACATTCTTCCCCTGTCCGAGACCGTCGACATGTCAGGCTTGCACATACAGGTGGGAGAAATGAGGACCTCCAACTCCGAAGATTCCAGCATATCCTCCATGACCCGCAGCAGCGAGGAGAGCGCCTCCTTTCCGGAACGACATGGTGTAGATGCGCTTCAGGTTCGAGTCGTTGTACACCTGCGAGGGGAATGTCAATGTCGGACAAGATCAGGCAAGAGAGCCAACCGCATTTTCTATGGGTGCGATCCCTCCAATCCCCTCGCTCAGGTCTTGCTTGGCGGCTCTTGTACTTACAGTCTTGCAGGTATACCTGCCGTCCATCAATGCCAGTCGTTGCCTTGAAGTGTCGAGACCTTCTCACGCTAGAATCGTCGAAGTCTAAAGCGAATTGAGAAAACCCTGCTGTCTCGTCCTCTCGCTCGTTGTCACACGCTTGAGGGTCCCGACGAGTTCTTGAGGACAAGTTCTCGATCTTCGATGAGGTCACAAACACGAATGCGGCAGACAAGTCCTCACTTCTTCTTTCACTCTGCTTATCCGCTCTTGTGCGCTTTCGATCGCAGCTGCATCACCTGATGTTAGAAGGGACTCCAAGGCTTGTTCCAACGAGTTCAACTCTTGCAGCTTCAGTGGCACTCAGATCAGCCGCAACACAACTCACGAGCCATCACATGCACCTTGGTCTGCATCTCCTCGCAGGCTGCTCCCGACCTGGTGCTTCGTCGCAGAGGAGCAGCTGCCGGGCTCTCATCTGCACGTCTATCGAGCGGCTCAACTTAAACGACAGAATTCAATGTCAGTCTTACCGGCTGATTCGTCGGGGCTTCGCTGGCGCTTTTGGTTCTTCGGCAGTGTTGACTAACGACTCGATACCGAGGTTCATCAGGAACGATTTGTTTCGATTGATGTTCTCAAGACGAGCCTTCTCGTACTCCGACATCTCAAACTTCTCCGGCTCTCTCGCAGCATGGGAAGAGGACTTCGACTTGCTGATGGAGGAGGTGGCCTTATCATCTTCTCTGTGCAAGGCTACAGAAGCCTCTGCCGATTCGAGAGCATCACTCAGGATCTGATTGAATTGATCCTCGCTCTTGAGCTTCCACGACAGCATCCTGCTTCTACTCATGTCTTGATGAGCTACACTCGACTCAACTTCGCCTTCATTGCCTCCCTCGCGCTTCGACGCTCTTGACTTGCTCTGACTGTGATTACCAACAGACTTGCTTTGAAGCTTTCGGACTTGTGCAGGAGTCTTGACAGTCTTGCTGCTCGTCGGTCTCTTCTGCTGCTCTTCTCCTAGGTGATGCGCCGCTCTCCCTCCCTCGGTGTATCGAAGGCCTTGTAGGGCTTTTTCAAGGGCTGCAGGGTTATGGGAGGCTCGAGGCTTCTTGGCTGGTTGGCCGACATGCTCACTGTCATCGGAGTCAGCTTCATCCTTCAAGTCTGCCTCATCCTTCAAGCTCGACAGCCGTTGCCTGGCTTGCATGGAAGCTCTTCGACCTGACGCTCTGAGGCTGGGCCTTGTCGATGACTGGGAGGTGGGATCTTCTTCTTCTTGCACCTGTGTGCTGACAACCAATGTAGCATGCTCACAGGTAGCAAGCCTCGGTTCTTGGCGATTGAAGCTATTCTCTTGCAGGCCCCGGTTTCTCTTGACAACTGTTGCCGGAGTCTCTGTCTTGGAGGTCGCAGGTTCACTGCAACTCCTCGGACTCTCCGCCCTCTTGAAGAAGCTTGTGATCGACGCTTGTTCGCTCCTCATGCTGCCTGCATCCAATCGACGGCTCATTCGCCTGGAGCTCAAGTGTCAACAACGGGAGGGTATGCTATCGCTTTGTTGGCTCGGGCACGGCACAGTTTTTCTCTTCTTGGCGCAGCATCTTCTTTCGCCTCTCATCGCATGCTCACGCTTACCTCTACTCCCCCATGCTCTCTCTCCCCCTCCTCTCCTCCCTCCATTCTTCACTCCTTCCCTCTCTTCCGCATTTTTCCCGCCAAGGCCCGTCCTGAGGTGAGCTTGACAACAACCGTTAAAAGTCTATTAACTGACCTTCAATGCTTGCTTCCCCTCGCCCACCATGCTCCTGCTCCTGCTCCTGTTCCTGCTCCTGCTCCTGCTCCTGCTCCTGCTCCTGCTCCTGCTCCTGCTCCTGCTTCTGCTCCTGCTCCTGCTTCTGCTTCTGCTTCTGCTCCTGCTCCTGCTCCTGCTCCTGCTCCTGCTCCTGCTCCTGCTCCTGCTCCTGCTCCTGCTCCTGCTCCTGCTCCTGCTCCTGCTCCTGCTCCTGCTCCTGCTCCTGCTCCTGCTCCTGCTCCTGCTCCTGCCTCCTGCTCCTGCTCCTGCTTCTGCTCCTGCTCCTGCTCCTGCTCCTGCTTCTGCTCCTGCTCCTGCCTCCTTCACCTGCTCCTGCTCCTGCTTCTGCTTCTGCTCCTGCCTCCTGCCACCTGCTCCTGCTCCTGCTCCTGCTCCTGCTCCTGCTCCTGCTTCTGCTCCTGCTCCTGCCTCCTTCACCTGCTCCTGCTCCTGCTCCTGCCTCCTGCTCCTGCTCCTGCTCCTTCACCTGCTCCTGCCTCCTGCCTCCTTCACCTGCTCCTGCTCCTGCCTCCTGCTCCTGCCTCTTCCCCCCGCCCCGCCCCTGCATGCCCCGTCACTCCCTCTGCCTCTTCTTCCCCCTGCTCTGCTCTGCCTCCTCTTCCTCCTTCTCCTCCTACTGTTACTCTGCTGTCCTGCGCTTCCTGCCTGTCTACCTTCCTCTCCCTCTCCCTCTCTCTCTCCCTCTCTATCCACCTCACAGCGTGTAATATCTCATGGTGTAACTCGTGTCTCCTCAGCTTCCTCGGCTGCATCGCCCGCATGGTCGAAGTTCTCACAGACGCTCATCGCGGAGAGCTGCAGCAGGTGACGTCTACAGGGTGTCACCGAGCTTAACCCCTCCACTGCCTGCAGATCTTCGAGCGCTTTGACTCGTCGAGCAGAGGTTTCTTGGACGTCAGGGAGCTCAATGCCTGCTTCAGGTGAGGCGGACGGGCGTCGCTGGCGAGCTGACGCGCTAGTCTCGCCCAGGAGCTTTGGGTGTGTGTACACAGAAGCAGATCTACAAGAGATGATGAACGAGGTGGGGGGGAAGGTCGACTTCCTGCAGTTCTGCCACGTGAGTTGAACCAAACGCGATCAAGGAGGCTGAGAAGAAGCAGATGATGACGAAGAAGATGAAAGATTGCGATGTGGTGGCAGAAATCAAGCTGGTTGACCATTCACCTCACCTCTCCTTTCCTCCCTCCCCTCTCCTCCCCTCCCTACATCGAGACTCCCTCCTCGTGTCTCTGGATCCCCACTCTCCCTCTCTCTTCTCGTACCTCCTGGTCTGCTTGTCTGCCTGCTGACGCTGGTGGTCTCAGGCTTTCACGCAGCTGGATGAGGACGGGGACCTGAACATCAATCGCTCCGAGCTGCGGGCGGTGAGGCAACGCCGCGGGGGAGACTGAGAGTGACGGGGAGCAGGTGCTGGAGAAGCTGACGGATGGTCGAGTGCGGGCGGAGGAGGTGGACGAGTATATGCTGGAGGCAGAGAAGAAGAGGAGAGGGAGAGGAGGATGACTCAACCGCAGGCTGACGTGGATGGTGACGGCAAGATCTCACAGCTGGATTTCATCAACTTCTTGACAACATGATGTACCTTACTCCAATACTCTCAGTCCTCCCTGCCTCTTCTGCTCCCCTTTGCCTGTCCTACCTGCATCTGCTCTCGCTCAGCTACACGCTGTATTCATGCGCCATGTCCTTGACAAGGTGGGAGGAACGTGGTCTCAAGTCTTGTCGCATGCTCAACTCTGTGGTGGCTCATCACCTCGCTCGCATCAAGGAGCAACTCACCCAACTCAAGGTCAGCAGCAGCGTTCTTCACTTCCTCCGCCTGCTCGTAAGATAAGAAGAAACGACGGGAGAGGAGTGTCTGCCTGCTCTTGAAGATAGACCTCGAGACGCCTGCACTCCTCCTCTCGTATGCTCACAGCCTGCAAAGATGCTGAGAGGTGCTCCTGTTACCACAAGCTCCTCCAAGCTTCACCGCCTCTCGCTTCCTCAGCCCCTCCTCCCTCTCCCGCATCGCCTCCTGAAAGTCTCCTCCACGCATGCTCGACAGCTTCGCCTGCTTCATCATCACTACCCGACCTCCCGACGTGTTGCAGTCACCTGAATGCCGCGATGGAGGAAGGGAGAGAGTTGATGCATGAGCTCGTTCTCTCGCTCCTCCGCTCCCTGCAATGAGTCACCAGCTCACCCGCAGTCTCTGCTGGTGTGCCTGCAGCCTCCCGCGCAGGTTTCGGAGCTCTTCGTTGAGCCGCGAGATCTCCTGGCGAGTCGTCAGTTGAAGTGCACGAGGAAGCAGTGTAGCACCCGACGATCTTCGACTTGTGCCCTCGTCAAGCTCACGACTTCCTCAAGCTGTTGCTCAGCCTGCTGCTATCAGGGGCGTGAGCAGTTCGAAAAGGAGCACCTGCTTGCGTGCGGAAGCAAGGCTGTCTTGTAGGATGGAAGTTTCTTTGGTGTTGCTGCCGCGCCATCGTTTCAAGGTGCCAAGAGAAGCAGCAAGAGAAGCTCCTGACGTACCGGAGAGCCAGGCGCTGATTGAGAGCGGCGATCTCGAGGTTCAGTCGCTCGATCTCTTTGTCCTTTTCTCGCATCAGGTCTCGAAGCTTCGCGTCCTTGTCTCTCAGCATCTGCTTGAGATTTCAGTGCAGAGGTGACTGCTGGAGCCCTGCTTTCATCACCTGCTGGCTCTGCTCCACCTTGTCGCAGTTGACCTGCACCTGAGGGAAATTTTGAGGACGGAGGAGGAATGACTGAAGAGACTTGTTAGACCAGCGAAGCATTCTGTTGGAGCAAGCGATGCAGTCGCTCAATCTCTTGCACGTTATCCTTGTCCATGGTCAAGAGCCCTGCTGACGATGAGCTGGAGGAGAAAGCGATGCAAGAGGAAGGGAGGGAAGAAGTGAGAGGCGATTCACTCACGATCAAGTTGAGCCTCCAGATCAGAAACTTTCTGTTTGTGCAAGAACTCTTTTTCTTTCCTTCTGCAAGCTGAGTCAGGCTCGTTAGAGACACGCACACTCTCTCACTCTCGCAACTCTTCGAGCGCTTGACGAAGGTCCTTCTGCGCTTGTGCAGCCATGCTCTCATGCGGTTTCAGCCTGGGCAACAGGATCAGAAGCAGCGCTTGAGTCTCAGCCAGCACCGTTGGATCTCGTTCACGGCCTTACTCAACAGCTCACGAAACCGCTCCACCTGATCACTTGCAATCGAGTCTTCAACCACCTGTTCTTTCACCCCCGGAGCCTCTCCAACACGCAGAAACATCTGGCATGTTCTTTGGACAAGCAGCCTTCCGAGATCACTTTGAGACGAGACGTGGAGGGTAGCACGTGGTAGCTTTGAGTCCTCAACAAAAGTCACTCTCTTAGTTTCAACTGACCGTGCGCGATGAGCTTGAGAGTGAAGCTCTTCAAGGGAGACGTTGGTATCATTAGCGTCGAGGTTCCCTCCATCTCCAACAAACTTCTCCCGCAGGATGTCTCGTGCCAATCGTTCTATCACGCGGTTGGGTGGATACCTCTCTTGCGGTATCCATGTCGCCGACATGCTGCTGATAGTCTCGACGCTCTTAGGGCGGCATCTGTCATGTCAAATAATGTGTCAACCTTTAACTGATCGTTCAACCGCTCAGTCAGTCATGCTGCCTCAAAGCATCGGGAAACCGTGATAGTCCCTCCCCTTCCGAGTTCCAAGTCTCCTCTAGCTCAGTCAAGTTTCTGAAGTCACACAGGCTAGGCTCTAACGTGCTGAACTTCTGCCTTCTCTATCCCTGTGTCTCGGGCTGACCGGCTTCTCCCTCCCAAAGGGTCCGACGGTCTTCTTCCCTCAGCGTCCTTGTCCCTCTCCCTCCCTCTCTCTTCGACGAGACTCTCTCCCCTCTGAATCTCGCTGACTGATCTCCTCTCATTCAAGGCCTCTTGTCCCTTTCGCTGTTCGCATCCGCCCCCCTCACTTGCCCCCAGCCGCATGGGCCGAGCGGCCATCGGGTCTTGTCAAAAACTTAGGTTTCAAATGATTTTGTGAAAATCTCTTACAAAATTTCAAACTTGTCCCAAACAGATTTTGCCATGTTGATTTTCAAGCTCACCTCAGTCTATTTGAATAGGAAACAGGCAAGGCAGCGCTCTACATCTACCTTTCACTTACTCACTTGTCTGGCCTGCCCCAGGTCCATCCAAGGATACGAGCATGTCCCCCAGATTTGAGTCCGGAGGCCCCGGAGAGCTATAAGGGCAAGGGGTGGGTACTCGACTAAAAGAAAATCGATGAGCGGGGGTGGGGTAGTGTCTCGGATATGCATATCATTTCAGTGAGATGGTGAGGGTACGAACAAGGCGAGATGTCAAGGAGGAGGAGGAGGAGGAGGAGGAGGAGGAGGAGCAGCAGCAGCAGCAGCAGCAGGAGCAGGAGAAGAGAGAAGAAGGAGAGGAAATCGAGCATGACAAGTAGCGGGTGAGTGGAACCAGTGAGGAACCTATGAGAAGCGAGATTGAAACAAAAAGAACAACCCATTAACCCTGCATCCCATCCATTCTCTGCAAACAGAATGGCGAAGAACAATAGATCAAGAAGACACGAGTGAGGGTTGACTTGGTGTGCAGGCTTCCTACTGACTCGCTCATGGCGTCATACCACGCGGACCTCGCGATAGGCAGAAACTTTCCGAGCAAGGCTTTGCAGGAAATTGAGAAGGAACACTTGACACAGCGGAGTAGCCGAAGTTCTCCAGGTGCTCGTGCGAGAGACCGCTTGTGGAGCATTGACGTTGCTCCAGGATATGAACCGTCTCATCCTGGCTTTGAGCCTCCTGGATTCGTCTACGATCTGGCTGCCTCGGACGTAGAGGCGAGGGGCTCGGCGCCTGTGGCTGGCATAGTCTCACAGAGCCTTCACCCCTACGAGTACTCCTTACCAGACTCGCAGCTCCGCATGGACAACAGAGAGATGAATCAAGCGGGAGTTATGGAGGAGGGCAGGCTGGGCCACAGGAAGTCGCTGCTGCAGGGATTGATCGGCACGCAGCAGACTCCCGTCAGCGTCTCTTTCCACAGGCTCGCGATGCTGGTGCCTGAAAAGAAGGTCAAGACTTCTCCTCTCAGCTGCGACACACCAACGCGCACAATCCTACATGAGGTCAGCGGTGTCTTCGAGGCCGGCAAGTTCACTGCCATCATGGGGACGAGCGGAGCTGGTAAGACGACCTTGCTCAACGCGGTGGCGGGCGAGGCTTCGGGAGGGAAGCTGTCAGGAGGCGTGAGCTTCAACGGTGCGCAAGTTAACTCAGATCACATCCGTCGACTTCGCGCGTTTGTGTTTCAAGATGATGTCATGATGGGGACGATGACTGTGAGAGAAGCCATCACCATGTCCGCAAGGCTGCGGCTCCCCGCGTCGATCCCCTTGACCGAGAAGCTGAAGCGAGTGGAGGAAGTGATCGAGCTGCTGCATCTCGACAAGTGCAAGGACAGCGTGATCGGGTACGCGAAAGAGCGAGGCATCTCCGGGGGCGAGCGGAAGCGAGTGGGGATAGCCATGGAGCTTATCACCAACCCCTCCGTCATCTTCCTCGACGAGCCCACCTCAGGGCTCGACTCTCACACAGCTCACAGCGTCTGCAAGACGCTAAAGGAGCTCGCCAAGGCTGGACGGACTGTAGTGGCGACGATCCACCAGCCCTCCTCCGACATCTTCCACATGTTCGACAACCTCCTCATCCTGGCCCATGGCAAGATCTTGTACCAGGGTCCCTCCCGCGACTGCACGCCTTACTTCGCGGCCCGAGGCAGTGAGTGCCCGCGGTACACGAACCCGGCGGACCACATCTTCATGAAGGTGCTCAACGACCAGGACGCCATCACTGAGGATGAGAAGCAGTTGGCCACTGCCCGCGTGCAGTCTCTCCTCAACGAGTACGTGACCTCCGGCACTCTGTCGCGCATGGAGGAGGCGGCGGCAGCTCCTGGACCAGGGGTGTCAGGGTCAGGACAAGAGAAGGGAGCAGGAGTGATGACAGAGCTGGCTGTCCTCTTCACTCGAGCTCGCAGGAATGCTGTCCGCAACCGCATGATCCTACGAGCCAAGATAGGACAGTCGATGTTCATGGGCCTACTGGTCGGCCTCATCTACCGAAACCTTCAGACCAATCAGAAGTCCATCCAAGTACTCCTCCTCCTCCTCCTCCTCCTCCTCCTCCTCCTCCTCCTCCTCTATCTCCTCCTCCTCCTCCTCCTCCTCCTCCTCCTCCTCCTCCTCCTCCTCCTCCTCCTCCTCCTCCTCCTCCTCCTCTATCTCCTCCTCATCCTCCTCCTCCTCCTCCTGCTCTTTCTCCCCCTCCTCCTCCTCCTCTATCTCCTCCTCCTCCTCCTCCGCGTCATCCTCTGCTCCATCCCTCGTTTTACCATCTCTCGTCTTCCTTCCTCACTGGCTCCGTAGGATCGCAACGGGGCGCTTTTCTTTGTCTCAGTCAACGTCACGCTCTCAGCTGCCTTTGGAGGTCCCTCGTGCTGCCTCCTCTTGTGCTGCCTCCTCTCGTGCTGCCTCCTCTCGTGCTGCCTCCTCTCGTGCTGCCTCCTCTCGTGCTGCCTCCTCTCGTGCTGCCTCCTCTCATGCTGCCTCCTCTCGTGCTCTCTCACCGTCTCCCAGTCATCTCCGCGTTTGGCGTCGAGCGGACTGTCTTCGAACGCGAGAGAAGTGTGGGCATGTACAGGTCCAAGGGCTGCAAGAAAGATTTAGCCTGACTCTCCTGCAGCACGCTGTCTTACTTCCTCTCAAAGATCCTCGTTGAGCTCCCGCACAACGTTATTTTCCCCTTCCTGCAGTCCACCATTGTCTATTTCCTCCTCAATCTGCAGCAGGCGGCAGACAAGTGGATCATATGGTACCTACTTCGCCTCTCCCTGCTTCTCATCCCTCCTCGCTCCCAGCCTCTCTCTCCTCGTCTCCCACCCCCTTCCCCCTCCTCTCCTTCCGGTCGTCTTTCCTCCTTCCTCACTCTCTTCTCGTCTCGTCTCGTCTCGTCTCGTCTCGTCTCGTCTCCTCCCTCCCTCCTCTTCGCCTCTTACCTTACACAGGGCCATGATATTCGTGATCTTGAACAATGTCGGCAACTCGCTCGGCATCAGGTTCGAGCTTCTTTTTGCTCTTTGCTCTGATCTGCTCGTGTAGTATCGCCTGCATGTTCGCGGATCTAGAGATGACGATTCAAGCTGGTTGCTCTCTCCTCCCCCGTCTCCTCCCCTCATGTTGTGGCAGCTCCGATCTTCATTCTTCCTCTTATGCTCTTCAGCGGCTTGTTTGTCAATCAGACGGGTGAAGCCACTCGACTGTGTCTCGGCTCCTGACCTCTCGTAGGGATCCCGGTCTACTTCAACTGGATCAAGTACATCTCGCCCATGAAATACAGGTGGGATAGGAGAGGGGCAGAAGAGGAGAAGGAGGAGAAGGAGAAGGAGGAGCAGGAGCAGGAGCAGGAGCAGGAGCAGGAGCAGGAGCAGGAGCAGGACGAGAAGGACGAGAAGGAGGAGGAGGAGGAGGAGGAGGAGAAGGAGGAGTCAGGAGCTGATCAAGGTGGCAGCTATGAAGCGTTCATGCTCAACGAGTACACGGGTCTCCTTGGGCTCTCTGGCTTCTCATCTTGTAATCCTCTCACAGGTCTCAAACTGCACTGTGACTCGAGCGAGTATCAATCTCAAGCCTCGTGCCCGCCAGTCCTCGATGCTGTGAGCCCCTCAATCACGTTCATCTCTCCTCTCCCCTCCCCTCCTCTCCTCTCCTCTCCTCTCCTCTCCTCTCCTCTCCTCTCCTCTCCTTTCCTCTCCTCTCCTCTCCTCTCCTCTCCTCTCCTCTCCTCTCCTCTCCTGTCTCGCAAGCCTTGTTATTGCCCGTATACAAGTGGGGAGGAGGTGCGAGCTTCTCATGCTTCTCTGCCGCTTGTCTTGTACCTCACAGCTTGCAGGTTTTGCAGCGCATGGGCATGGCCAACGACTTGACCTTATGGTGAGGGACGGGCCCCGTGTGAGGTTCTGAGAGGTCTGCAGGGAAAACATCGCTGTCCTCTTTGGCTTGTGGGCTGGTTTTCTGATCCTCGCCTTCTGCCTTCTCCACAGGTATCATGAGAGAAATCCCAAGCTCTTCTCCCTTCCTTTCCCTTCTTTCTCAATCGTCTTCACCTCCTAGTTCATTCCCCCCTTCACCTGCTTCTACCATCTCCCTGCAGCTCCTCTTTCTTCTCTCTGTCTGCCTCCTCCCTCTGTATTTCCGAAGTTCTTGACAGCTCTCAGGCTGGTCGCATCGCGCGAAGCTGCTAGATCAAAGCTGCTGACTCGTGGCATTCAAACGAGAGCCACAGCCAGTCAGAGGAAACCAACCTCATGAATACTAGTACAGTAATCTAACAGCTTAAACTAATTTTAGTAACATTAACGTCTGATATGCTCGAATGAATGTTTCCTTGGCCGTGTGAGTTCTTCGATTTACAAGAAACACAAGACCGAAAGTAACCAGCACTGCTGGCAACCAGACCCTGTACTGTTTCCTACACTGCCGGGGGAAGTCACGTAGACAAGCAGATGGCATGCCGATCTGCCAGTGTCCGACGCAGTGTGATGGGTGTCAGCGCGAGCTTGATCCTTCTATTGCTGCACACCATCTCCAGACCTGCAAGCGTCGATCCTCCAAGCTTCCTACTCGCTGTGAACTGTGTGCAAGCCGGTCGTCGACGGACTTACTCAGTCGAGACGTCCGCCGCCGCCACAAAGCGGGCGGCCGCGGACGAAGAAAGGGCAGCCGCCGACAAGGAGCCGGCGTTGCCCGGGGGTCCGCCTGGGGCAGCGGACGGAGGGAGGCTGGACACAGGAACACGGTACCGCTCGAGGTAGTCCTCCTCGCTAGCCTCCGAGGGGGCGATATCCACATCCCTGGAATCCGCGATCGAGGGTCTGAGCAGTACGAGGGCTTGATGGCGGACGTGACGTTGGTCCACCCTTGCTCTGCCGACCTGACCAAGTGGGGGGAGGTCAACCTCGACGCCCTCCATGTTGCAGCGTCTGAGAAGATTCGCAAACATCGCGCTGCATATGCTATGACTACTCCTCCTCGAGCGTTCATCCCTCTTGCCATCTCGACGGACGGTACCCTGCATCCTGACACCCTCCGCTTCATCCATTGTTAGCTTCATCTGGTATCTCGCGGACATCATTGCTCAGCGCTCGATGCCTCTTGAGGATGCGGCGTTTGGTCGGCACTTCGTGCCTGATGACGGCCCTGCTGCTGAGGTCTTGGCTCGCAAACGCGCCGCCACCTTTCAGCAATCCTAAATCGGTTTCAGCTTGTTCCTGCTTTGTTTTGCTTGAGGCACTTTTTATCTTCTGCCAGTAAATCCTATATCAGCGCCTCACTATGCAGCTGACGCTGGAGGCGCTCTTGTCTGGTGCCAGGCGCATGACGCCCTTGCGGAAGCAAGCACTTCTCGAGCCAGAGGACAGCTCCTCCTCGGACTTTGTCGAGTCGCCCGAGGGGGAGTCTTCGCCGGGTATAGGATTTACTGGCAGAAGGTAAAACTGTTTCAGCTTGATTCCTCAGCTGATGTTTCTCAGTCTCCAGCTGCAGGCGCTGACTCTCCGCCGCCCCTCTCCGGGGGCCCTGCGAAGGCATCCGATGCATCAGCCTGTGCTGCGAATGTCCTGCCTGACGAGGATGATCAACCTGACCTTGCTGATGCCGACCCTGATTCTGCTACGGATGTGCCCCCGGTTCCACCTATGGCCACCTCAGATTGGCCGAAGGGCTTGCAGTGGTTGATGTCCAACCTCCGAGTCTTCCTCTATATTCATGAGCGCTTTCGTCCTCATGTCACTGCGTCTCACCTCTTTGGTGAGACTGCAGAGCTTTGGCTGACTTGTCTTGTGTCTTTGCTGCAATTCATCGATCGATATGATCCTTCCTCGTCCAGCTATCAGACCCTTGTTCTGCTCTTTGAGCACCTTCCCGCCTTACTGCTTCCCGTACCCAACTCTGCCAATGGTCCTACCAAGGACGCGCTTATCAAGCGCCAGTGCCGACGTTTCTTGAAGGGTGAATGGAAAGCTCTTTTCAATCTGCCTGCTGCAGAAACCCATGGGAAGAAGCAAGCAAAGGGGGCGCGGCAGCCTTCACCGCCCCAAGGACAGCAGCAGCAGCAGCAGCAGCAGCAGCAGCGGCAGCAGCGGCAGCAGCAGCAGCAGCAACTTCGGCGGTCACCTCGGCACCTGCAGCCCTCGTCCGTCACCTCGGCACCTGCAGCCCTCGTCCCTCCCACAGCAGCAGCTCGGAGCAGCTGCAACCGCCTTTGTGTGTGATTGTGCAGCTTCTCGCTGTGCGCTGTGTGCCTGGAGGTTTAGCTTGATCCTGCTTTATTTTGCAGCCGCAGCCGCAGCCGCAGCCGCAGCCGCAACACCACCGCCACCAACAGCAACTGCAGCAGCAGCAGCCGCAGCCGCAGCACCCGCGTCAGCAGCAGCAGCAGCAGCAGCAGCAGCAGCAGCAGCAGCAGCAGCAGCAGCAGCAGCGTCCGCGTCAGCAACTGCAGCAGCAGCAACACCAGCAACCACCACAGCAGCGACCACAACCGCGCGGGCCAAGGGAGCAGCGGCAGTCCGGCCAATCGTCTCAGGAGTCTGAGCCTGCTCCTCCGCCGCGACCTACGCTGTCCCTCACCTCTGCGAGCGAGCGCCAACGACAGTTGGCGATTCATCAGTTCACTGCGGGTGACCTTCATCGGGCGGTACGGACGCTACTGAGCTCCGGCATCTACAAGGCTGAATCTTTTGCTGATCTTCTTGCTGAAGCACAAGAGAAGTTCCCTGATGGTGCGTCGCCTGCCTTTGGAAGTGCTTCCGCGGATCATCTCACCCAGCAAGCGCTTGCAGTGCTGCAGGTGGATTTGACTGACATCCTCGACACCACTAGCCTGATCCAGGCGATCAAGCGCTACAGCTCCTTTGCGGGGACCGATGACCAAGGGTGGAGGATTCGGCAACACCTGTCACCCCTTTCTAGTCATCCTGCAGCTTTGAAGCTCTACTGCAAACATATCCTCCAAGGGGTCCTTCTTGGCCGGATGCCGGATCTTCTTATTCCTGCCCTGTCAGCCATTCGTCGAGGAGGCAGATTTATTCCCCTCTCCAAGGGAGCTGATAAACCTGGTCTCCGGCCAATTGTCATCGGTTCTGCACACCGTCGACTCGCGACGAAGCTTGCTTTGGCAGCGATTCGCTCATTTCTTGACCAGCACTTCCTCTCGTCTCACCCTCGAGCGATTCAGTTCGGACTCGATCGAGACGGCTGTCTGAAGTTCTCGCAAACCGCGTCAGCGCTCCTGCCCCTTCACGCTCGCGGTGATGATGAGGATGTTGCCAACCCCACAGTGCTGGTGAGTTTGGATGCAAAGAACGCCTTCAACTCCCTCGACCGCCAGGCTCTCTTCGACGCAATCGAGGGACGTGCGAGTCGCGACTACTTTGATGGGAGCATCACTGAAGGCGCAAGCTTGCCCTCTTGCGAGCATCTCCGTTTGTTCGCCTCCTACCTCTCCAGCTACTATGGAGACTCTGCTGACCTTCGACTCTTTCACAAAAGTCAGTCAGCCTCCGTTCAGTGTACCTCGGGCGTCTGTCAGGGCGATGTCCCCTCCAGCGTATTTTTCTGCCACAGTATCCACCCCCTGCTCCTCCATATCGCAGAGCTTTTTCCCTCTGTTCGAGTCTTGGCCTATGCTGACAACGTCGTGCTTGTCGGTCCACTCGAGGATGCCGTTGCAGCTACGTCCGCTATGAAGAAGTACATGTTAGCTGATCTGAAGCTAGAGATTCAACCTCGCGAGTCGAAAGTTTACATCCCCTCCTGGCATCAACACCCTGATCTCTCGCAGCTGAAGAAGAGCCTTAAGCGCCGTCTCAAGACTCAACTTCTTCACTTCGAGGTCGTCACTGGCGGGATTACACTTGGCGGCCTGCCTATCGGCACGGATGGATTTCATGCTAGTCAGCTCCGAGCGAAGGTTTCTACCCTCAACGAAGAGCTCTCGAAGCTCGGGCTCGTCCAGCATGGCTTCATGTTCAAGACGCTGGTGAGGGCGAGCCATCTCCAGAAGCTGCGCTTCTTCCTCCAGGGGTCTTCTCCGTTTCTCCCGCGGGTCCAATCACAGATTCGTCGCTTTGACCTCTCTGTCCACCTGGCGCTTGAGAAATACCACCGCTGGCCTTCCTCGCAGTACCTTGCCGCGCATCCCGACCTGCTAGAGTTTGCGAGGTTCAAGCGGGAGCTTCCGCATAGTCGGGGAGGGGACGAGTTCACGCCCTCTGAGGGTCTACACCCCGCTGTTTACTATACGGCTATCGCTCGCTTCCTCGCTTGGTACTCTGACCAGCCGATGTCCCGGATGTTGCCCTCTCCTCATAGCCTGGACGTTCACTGCTCGAGATCTCTCCGTGCCCAGAAGCATCCTCTGGCGACCTTCTTCGTTGAGGCGCACGACTTCGTTCATAATGCTGGAGCGATCCTCTACCGTCGTGTCAAGGCTCCTGCACCGGCTGCAGATGGCGCGGCGATCCCACCTGCCCCGGCTGCTGTGCCTGATGACGCAGGACGCCCCCCGGCATCTGTGGTACACATCCCTGGTTTGCGCGCTCTCGTCGACTCGTCTCATGAGCACTTCATTCCTCCCCCTGCGCAGCGAAATGTGACTCCTCTTGTAATGCGCGTCTTCCCTCGACATGTGCATGCTCGCGCTGCGCTGACCGCTCAGCAGCGTGATATCCTCACCTTGCACAGCCGCAGGACACACTCGCTCAAGTCGCAGGATAGGGTCTTGCAGTCTACCATCTTCGCTCATTTTCCTGAGCGAGACCTGAGCCACTCTCCGATGCGAGTCTCGAGCTACTACCCCCTCAAGGCCTTCCCGCACCGCTATGCTCAGATGCTCGACTGCTATCTCCATGGCATGCCGATCTGCCAGTGTCCGACGAAATGTGATGGATGTCAGCGCGAGCTCGATCCCTCCGTTGCTGCACATCATCTCCAGACCTGCAAACGCCGATCCTCCAAGCTTCCCACGGCGCATGACAACCTTACTCGTACGATTCGGTCGATGCTGAACGAAGCTGGTCTTCAGAGCGTCATCGATACAGTGGGGGATCCTCGTTCTCGACGGCAGGTACCCTCCCATCCTCATGACCGCAAGATAGGGCGATATCCACATCCCTGGAATCCGCGATCGAGGGTCCGAGCAGTACGAGGGCTTGATGGCGGACGTGACGTTGGTCCACCCTTACATTGGTAGCTCTGCCGACCTGACCAAGTGGGGGGAGGTCAACCTCGACGCCCTCCATGTTGCAGCGTCTGAGAAGATTCGCAAACATCGCGCTGCATATGCTATGCCTACTCCTCCTCGAGCGTTCATCCCTCTTGCCATCTCGACGGACGGTACCCTGCATCCTGACACCCTCCGCTTCATCTGGTATTTGGCGGACATCATTGCTCAGCGCTCGATGCCTCTTGAGGATGCGGCGTTTGGTCGGCACTTCGTGCCTGATGACGGACCTGCTGCTGAGGTCTTGGCTCGCAAACGCGCCGCCACCTATCAGCGCCTCACCATGCAGCTGACGCTGGAAGCGCTCTTGTCTGGTGCGAGGCGCATGACGCCCTTGCGGGCGCAAGCACTTCTCGAGCCAGAGGACAGCTCCTCCTCGGACTTTGTCGAGTCGCCCGAGGAGTCTTCGCCGGAGGACGTCTCGACTCCGATGGGGGAAACCCTTCGAGTGGCCCCGACGATCGGCGCGGAGCTGGCGAAGCGTCTCCGTCCCTCACTGTGACGTCGGGTGCCTCCGGAGAGCTCGACACCACTGGGGTGCTTGCTGCTGGTCCGAGCTCGCCTGCTTCCTCCCCGGCATCGGTCGCCGGGTCACGCCGGTCCTTGGGCATTGCCGCGGCGTCGCCGCCGTCACGGGCGGCTACCACTGACTTGGCTACCGCTGACTCGGAGGCTAGCGAGGAGGACTACCTCGAGCGGTACCGTGTTCATGTGTCCAGCCTCCCTCCGTCCGCTGCCCCAGGCGGACCCCCGGGCAACGCCGGCTCCTTGTCGGCGGCTGCCCTTTCTCCGTCCCCGGCCGCCCGCTTTGTGGCGGCAGCGGACGTCTCGACTGACAGTGGTCAGTCGGCTGCCTCCGGGTATCGCGTCTAAGGGATTTTCTTCCTCCTGCATGCTCCTGCTGCTTGTTGCTTGATTGCTTGACCCTTAGGCTGCTTGTCTGCGCGGCTTCGCGCTTGGGCTGGCGCTGCCGCGTCTGGGTGCCAGCAGTGCTGGTTGTTTTCGGGCTTGTGTTTTGTGTGTGATTGTGCAGCTTCTCGCTGTGGACTGTGTACCTGCCGGTTCAGCTTGTTCCTGCTTTGTTTTGCTTGAGGCACTTTTTATCTTCTGCCAGTAAATCCTATAACTGTAAAAAGTGCGCCGGGGGTCTCCGACTCCGATGGGGGAAACACGTCGAGTGGCGCCGACGATCGGCGCGGAGCTGGCGAGGCGTCTCCGTCCCTCACTGTGACGTCGGGTGCCTCCGGAGAGCTCGACACCACTGGGGTGCAACAGGAGGAGACCTACGGATTTGCAACAAGCAGCAGGAGCATGCAGGAGGAATAACATCCCTTGTTGCTTGATTGCTTGACCCTTAGGCTGCTTGTCTGCGCGGCTTCGCGCTTGGGCTGGCGACGCCGCGTCTGGGTGCCAGCAGTGCTGGATCTTTTTGGGCTTGTGTTTTGTGTGTGATTGTGCAGCTTCTCGCTGTGCGCTGTGTGCCTGGAGGTTTAGCTTGTTCCTGCACTTTTTACCTTCTGCCAGTAAATCCGTACCTTCCGTCCGCGGCCGCCAGCTTTGTGGCGGCGACTGACAGTGGTCAGTCGGCTGCCTCCGGGCAGTCCGATTTACTGGCAGACCGGGTATCGCGTCTAAGGGATTTTATTCCTCCTCCTGCATGCTCCTGCTGCTTGTTGCTTGATTGCCTGACCCTTCGGCTGCTAGAGTCCCGTCTGAATGATAGTGGATTTACTGGCAGAAGGTAAAAAGTGCCTCAAGCAAAACAATAGTGGATTTACTGGCAGAGGGTAAAAAGTGCCTCAAGCAGAACAAAGCAGGAACAAGCTAAACCTCCAGGCACACAGCAAAATAAAGCAGGAACAAGCTAAACCTCCAGGCACACAGCGCACAGCGAGAAGCTGCAGTGCACAATCACACACAAAACACAAGCCCGAAAAGAACCAGCACTGCTGGCACCCAGACGCGGCAGCGCCAGCCCAAGCGCGAAGCCTCGCAGACAAGCAGCCTAAGGGTCAAGCAATCAAGCAACAAGCAGCAGGAGCATGCAGGAGGAATAAAATCCCTTTAAGGAGACGCGATACCCGGAGGCAGCCGACTGACCACTGTCAGTCGAGACGTCCGCTGCCGCCACAAGCGGGCGGCCGCGGACGGAGAAAGGGCAGCCGCCGACAAGGAGCCGGCGCTGCCCGGGTGTCCGCCTGGGGCAGCGGACGGAGGGAGGCTGGACACAGGAACACGGTACCGCTCGAGGTAGTCCTCCTCGCTAGCCTCCGAGTCAGCGGTAGCCGAGTCAGTGGTAGCCGCCCGTGACGGCGGCGACGCCGCAGCAATGCCCAAGGACCGGCGTGACCCGACCGATGCCGGGGAGGAAGCAGGCGATCTCGGACCAGCAGCAAGCACCCCAGTGGTGTCGAGCTCTCCGGAGGCACCCGACGTCACAGTGAGGGACGGAGACGCCTCGCCAGCTCCGCGCCGATCGTCGGCGCCACTCGACGTGTTTCCGATCAAGCAACAAGCAGCAGGAGCATGCAGGTTTAGCTTGTTCCTGCTTTGTTTTGCTTGAGGCACTTTTTACCTTCTGCCAGTAAATCCTATACTCTTCCTGCAGGTATAGGATTTACTGGCAGAAGGTAAAAAGTGCCTCAAGCAAAACAAAGCAGGAACAAGCGCTGATAGGTGGCGGCGCGTTTGCGAGCCAGGACCTCAGCAGCAGGTCCGTCATCAGGCACGAAGTGCCTGCAGGAACAGCACTGCTGGCACCCAGACGCGGCATCGCCAGCCCAAGCGCGAAGCCGCGCAGACAAGCAGCCTAAGGGTCAAGCAATCAAGCAACAAGCAGCAGGAGCATGCAGGAGGAATAAAATCCCTTAGACGCGATACCCGGAGGCAGCCGACTGACCACTGTCAGTCGAGACGTCCGCTGCCGCCACAAAGCGGGCGGCCGCGGACGAAGAAAGGGCAGCCGCCGACAAGGAGCCGGCGTTGCCCGGGGGTCCGCCTAGGGCAGCGGACGGAGGGAGGCTGGACACAGGAACACGGTACCGCTCGAGGTAGTCCTCCTCGCTAGCCTCCGAGTCAGCGGTAGCCGAGTCAGCATCCTATGCAAATCAGCGGTAGCCGTCCGTGACGGCGGCGACGCCGCAGCAATGCCCAAGGACCGGCGTGATCGGAGTCGGAGACCTCCGGCGAAGACTCCCCCTCGGGCGACTCGACAAAGTCCGAGGAGGAGCTGTCCTCTGGCTCGAGAAGTGCTTGCTTCCGCAAGGGCGTCATGCGCCTGGCACCAGACAAGAGCGCCTCCAGCGTCAGCTGCATGGTGAGGCGCTGATAGGTGGCGGCGCGTTTGCGAGCCAGGACCTTTTGTCTGCGTGGCTTCGCGCTTGGGCTGGCGCTTGAGGCACTTTTTACCTTCTGCCAGTGGTCAGTCGGCTGCCTCCGGGTATCGCGTCTAAGGGATTTTATTCCTCCTGCATGCTCCTGCTGCTTGTTGCTTGATTGCCTGACCCTTCGGCTGCTTGTCTGCGCGGCTTCGCGCTTGGGCTGGCCGCCTGCCGCGTCTGGGTGCCAGCAGTGCTGGTTCTTTTCGGGCTTGTGTTTTGTGTGTGATTGTGCAGCTTCTCGCTGTGCGCTGTGTGCCTGGAGGTTTAGCTTGTTCCTGCTTTGTTTTGCTTGAGGCACTTTTTACCTTCTGCCAGTAAATCCACTTGCAAGACCCTTCATCTTGCGGCCATGAGGATGGGAGGGTACCTGCCGTCGAGAACGAGGATCCCCCACTGTATCGATGACGCTCTGAAGACCAGCTTCGTTCCGAGCATCGACCGAAAAGTGCCTCAAGCAAAACAAAGCAGGAACAAGCTGAACCGGTATCAGAGCTCATAGGATAGCGAGCCCAACACAGGAGTGGTCAACACTCGAAATGTGGACAGCACACAAGGATAGCCTCTACAACTATCCAGACGAAAGACAGTGATTCTCTAACGGCTACTTTGGTTCAGAAGTCGGACCCCTCCGGGACGGCTTCCCTATCAAGCACCGGTGGAGCTCTCCTTTCTGGTAGAAACAAGAACAGGAGCAGCGCATGGACCAAAGGGGCCATAGCGACGGCACGAGGCAGGAAGACTCGTGCAAGCGAGGACCACTACCCCTGGGACTTCCACAGGGCTATAAAAGGATCAAGATCTTCATCTCTAGGTGGTCTGTCTTCCCTCCCTCTGTGTACCACGCATTTCCCTGTGTTGGTGTGGTTGCTGCAATAAAGCTTGATAATACTGTCTAGCACCATCTGTGGGAGTCCAGCGGAGGTTCTTTGAGCATTCGCTTGGCTAGTGTGCAACCCGTAAAGCTTCGGGGTGTAACATAAATTGGTAGTGAAGTGTTGGTGCAGTGTTATCTTGCGGATTTGTGGTGACCGTGTTTCTACTTTCCCCCTTTCCCCTGCCTACCCCTGATGACACATTATACACGTCGCACTGCTCACGCTAGCAAACAGACAGCGACCGGAGACGCACTGCTTTCTGATACGGAATGGCAGTCTGCGGCGGGTCACAGCGATACGGAGGATTTGCTCCCTCAGGAGGAAGATACCCAGCAACTGCCACAAACCTTCGGTGTGCCCACGGAGACGCTTACGATGGAGGGTCTCGCGCAACAAGTGGCCTTGCTGCAGGCGCAATTAGCCGCCGCCTTTCAGATGGGTGCTCTGATAGCCCCTCAGCAGCCCGCGGCGCCGACGCCGGCAGCTTCTACTGGACAGCATCCCGCAGCGGCGGGACGCTCCAATGTGTCAGGTGACACACATGCTCAGATGGTGGCAAAGTTGCGCTCAGTGCCAAAGCTGGACACTACGAGGCAGTCACCACAACGCAACATTCTCACATGGCTCACAGCTATGCAGTATGAACTAAAGTTGCATCAGATACCCACAGCCTGCTGGGTTCTTTGTGCCCTGGATTTCTTGGACCAGGCGGCACGCGACTACTATGTGCAAGCCTATTCGGCTACCGAACTTCGAGAGCTTCCCTGGGTGAAGTTCGCCACCCAGCTCAAGTCCCAACACATGCCATTGGGACTTCGAGCACAACTCGTTGCCTGTCTGGATCACCTCCGTCAGGAGCCGCAAGAATCCATGGCAACATACTACAAGCGTACGAAGCTTCTGCCAAAGAACAACTAGATCTCATTCCCGGTGGTGCGGCATTCGCCACCGATGTGATCCTGCGTGAACGCTTTGCAACGGGCATCACTAACGTGACAACGAAGCTTCTCCTCAATGCATGGAGTGCTTCCCATCTGCAAACGACAGGCTCGGAGCCGACGTTTCCCCGGAAACGTCGGCTTCCCCCGGAAACGTCGACACTGCACGATGCCAGATGGCTCCGTCAAACAGCTGAATGCTGTGATGCGGGTAAGCCCAATCGAGGTAAGGGAACCCCTGCTGTCACGGGAGTCCCGGGTCAGTCCCGTTCGGGGGGCAATCCGCAGCACACACGGGGTCGCTCAGGACGTCACTCGTCCAGGGATCAACGACGGGATAACGGCCGTCGCCAGGAGCGACAGCCTTCTCGATCACCCAGCGCAGAGCGCCGCAATGTCATCTGCCATGCATGAGGACGCTCGGGACACTATGCTAAGGACTGCCGACGAGCTCGTCGCAGCCAGAGCCCTCATCAGGCCCGCGCACGATCCCCTCGTGCATCGTCCTCGCCAGCGCGCGAAGATGAACAATTCCCCTCTGGTGAAGAGGACGAGCCCACTACCGCTGCCGTGACGACTCGGCAGGGTAAGCGTGCTGACGCTCAGTCTCGTCGACGCCACCACGTGCAGTTTGATGGCGAAGCACAAGACTTGCTGCAAATGAATACGCTGACAGTTCAGACCGCCTCGACGCTGACTCAGGCGGCAGACATCGACTCCAACCTGCTCTACCTGCCCATTCAAATTGAGTCGGAACGAGCAGAACAACCCAGAGAAATCCTGGCGCTCCTGGACACGGGGGCGCAGGCATCCATTCTCTCGCGTGCGATTGTAGACGAACTCAGGTTATCTACGCACAAGATCGCCACCCCGGTGAAGGTCCAGTTCGCCAAGGACGACAGATCGGTTATAGTTCGGGACGCATGTCACCTTGACTTCCGGATCACAGGCACTGACGTCAGGGCTCAGGAGGAGTTCCTCATCCTTGATGCACACGCGGCGCTGCCCGCCATTCTGAGCCACCCGTTCATCACGAAGTTAAAGATGCAGATCGACTTCTATGAACGACGGATTTCCATTCCCTCCTCGACCCACCCCGGACGTCGACAGCAGCTTCCTGTCGCTATGATGTTCCCGCGTGGTCCGCCGGCTGATACATCCTCAGCGCAAACGACGCCTGCGGGTGCTTGCATATTTCATCCCACTGCTGACACGCTGTGCCATGACATGCGACACGATCTCGCAGGATCGAGACCTCTGGGTCCCGATGAATTCCCTTGGATCATGACGTCGCTGACAGAAGAGTTTCCGACTACGATGCACGCGCCGTCGGATCCGAGCCCCGAATCCCTTGACGCCGCCGTCGCGGCATTACTTCAGCAGCTGATCAAGGACTTCGACGACGTCATTGTCGATGAACTTCCAATCCAGGCTCCCATCTCTCGCGGTGAGTATGATGTCGACCTGAAGGTTCGCGAAGGCGCGCAGCCGGTGCGTCTTCGTCCATATCGTCTTCCCTCGGCGCTTCAAACTCCGATGGGAAACACACTTCGCTTCCTGCTGGAGCGCGACCTCATTGAACGGGACGACAATGCTCTTTACCAGAGTCCGGTTATCTTCGTCCGCAAAGGCACCTCGCCTAATGGTGAGCCCATCTGGCGCTTCTGTGTGGACTATCGGCAAGTTAATGCACAACTCATCGATGACAATTTTCCCCCTCCCATTCCCACAGAACTCATGGAGCGTGTGGGGCGCCAACTGGCAGCAAACCCGCCAGGTACTCCGCTATGGTTGAGCAAAGTCGACTTAGCTAGCGGGTTTTGGCAACTGAAGCTCACACCTCAGAGCAGTCAGTACACAGGATTTGTGACTGAGCAAGGGGCTTACAAATTCAAAGCGCTTCCGTTCGGTCTGAAAACAGCGACGGCCGCCTTCCAAAAGTTTACGCAAGGTATACTGGCTGACATCCCCAACGCGCTTGTGTACGTTGATGATGTGCTCCTCTGTACAGCGGGCACGCAAGAAGCGCATCTCGAGGATATTCGCCGCGTCCTGCAGCGCTTCCGTGAGCACAGAGTTTATGTCAAACGTAGCAAGTGCTCATTCATGCAACAGCAGCTTGATTTCTTGGGGTATACCATCACCCAAGCTGGCATCGCCACGGAGCCTAACAAGGTCCAGGCCATTCAACAATATCCGACGCCGGCTTCCGTCAAACGGCAAACTTCTATCGCAAATTCGTCAGCAACTATGCGCGCCTATCCTCTACGCTGTCAGATCTCTTACAGAACAGTCAGCGCCGTTTCGTATGGACTAAATCTGCTCAGATCGCATTTGATGCCTTGAAACAAGCATTAGCCACTACTCCAGTCTTGTGGCACTTTCAGCAGGATCGCGCGACCATCCTGTACACCGATGCTAGTGACCTAGCCATTGGCGCGACTCTACATCAACGCGATCGACATGGCAATGAGCATCCAATCGCCTACTATAGCAAGAAGCTGTCTTCCGCTGAACGCAACTATTCGACCTATGAACGCGAGCTCTTGGCTCTCAAGGAGAGTTTGAAGCACTTCTCCTACTACCTCATCGGACGCCGCTTCAAAGTCAAAACCGATCATCATAGCTTGATTCGCCTGACGACTCAGCCCGAGCTATCCCCTCGCCTTGCCAGATGGCTGTCTATCTTCCTGCAGTACGATAGGGAAATCGAGCACATCCCAGGGGAACAGAATTCTGTTGCCGATGCGCTCAGCCGTGTGGTCGACTCCTCGCCCGATCCGGCATCCGCTGCAGCTCGCGAGACGCGCATTGACGACATGGCCAGAGATCTCCTCGTGGGTTTGCATCACATCCAGATCCTGACCAATGCCAACTTCTCTCAACAGCTCCTCCATCACTATGCGACCTGCCCGGACTTCCAGATCCTCTTTCAACTAGGACGTGACGGCGAGCTGGTAGGACAACCAGGCTGCAAGTCGTTCATCTACCAAGACGAACTGCTCTTCCATCAAGACTCCTTGGGTCGTCGTCGCATCTGCATCCCCATCGCCATGCGGCCAGCCATACTCCGCATGGGCCATGACGAAGCGGGTCACCTCGGCTCTGACAAGACATATCTCGACCTGGCCACCAAGGTATATTGGTCCAACATGAAGCGTGATGTTGAGAATTATGTGCATTCTTGTCTGACCTGCCAAGCCGCCAAGGCATACAAGCAGAGGCCTGTGGGGCTTCCAAAGAGCCATGACGTTCCGGCTGACAAATTCGACGTACTCTCAGTTGACATTCTCAGCGGACTTCCCATTACCTCTGAAGGCTATGACGCCATCTTCGTCATGGTTGACTCCTTCTCGCAGCATGTTACCTTGGCTCCGACGACCAAGGACGCAACACAGAACGCGGGGTCTGCCCAAGGCGATCATCTCCGACAACGGCTCAAATTTGTCTTCCCGCTTCTGGGATGCGTTGTTTGAGACTCTGGGTGTACAGGTCCGCCACTCATCCAAGTATCACCCTCAAAGCAATGGCCGGGTGGAACGCGCAAACGCTACCATCCTCGACATGCTCAGGACGCGCCTGACCGCCGCTCGTGACGATTGGAGCTCTCATCTTCCTTTTCTCGAGTTTGCCCTCAACCATGCGCCTCGCAAGGAAACGGGTCTCTCGGCCTTTCAAGTGGAGTACCGGGTCGCAATCCTCGCTCCGCCATGGACTTGACGCTCAGTCCGGTGATTCCTGAGGTGCAATCTACACTTGATCTCATCCAGGTGAATGAGAATGTCGTGCGCGACAAGCTCGCAGCAATGGCCAATCGCACCGAAGCTGCCTTACTTCAGACGCGCAGAGTTCTCAACTGGCACGTTGGTGATCAGGTGTGGCTGGATGCAAGACTCTTCAATCAAACCTTTGAAGTGCGCAAGTTTCGTGAAAAGTTTCTGGGACCCTTTGTGATCACTGAAGTCTTATCCAACAACAACTACAGAATCAACGTGCATCAACGTTTCCCCAAGATGACCATCGACGTCTTCAACGCCAAGTTTCTTCGTCCTCACATTCAACGACAGCCCCAGCTGGACTCAGCTCCGCCTCCCCAGCCTCTCCCGGACTTCTATGAAGTGGAGCGCCTACTCGCTGATCGCACGCAGCGCGGACGCAAGGAGTATCTCGTTCGCTGGAAGGGTTTCTCCTCTGCTGATGACACATGGGAACCAGTGGAACATCTCGTTCGCACTCGAGCGCTTCGCAACTTGGTTCAACGCTACGACAGGGCCAAACAGCGTGAGCGACGTCCGGTACCTTCCTCTGCTCAGGGACGGCGTTCACGCCGCCTTTGACCGCTCTTTGACTTTGGTCTAGGTGCGAGTTTGCGGGAGCGTATCAGAGCAAAGAAAGCGAAGTTTTCTGAGTCCTGAGCACTCCAAGAAAGCGCAGAAAGAGCGTATCAGAGCTCATAGGATAGCGAGCCCAACACAGGAGTGGTCAACACTCGAAATGTGGACAGCACACAAGGATAGCCTCTACAACTATCCAGACGAAAGACAGTGATTCTCTAACGGCTACTTTGGTTCAGAAGTCGGACCCCTCCGGGACGGCTTCCCTATCAAGCACCGGTGGAGCTCTCCTTTCTGGTAGAAACAAGAACAGGAGCAGCGCATGGACCAAAGGGGCCATAGCGACGGCACGAGGCAGGAAGACTCGTGCAAGCGAGGACCACTACCCCTGGGACTTCCACAGGGCTATAAAAGGATCAAGATCTTCATCTCTAGGTGGTCTGTCTTCCCTCCCTCTGTGTACCACGCATTTCCCTGTGTTGGTGTGGTTGCTGCAATAAAGCTTGATAATACTGTCTAGCACCATCTGTGTGATCCAGCGGAGGTTCTTTGAGCATTCGCTTGGCTAGTGTGCAACCCGTAAAGCTTCGGGGTGTAACAACCGGCAGGTACACAGTCCACAGCGAGAAGCTGCACAATCACACACAAAACACAAGCCCGAAAACAACCAGCACTGCTGGCACCCAGACGCGGCAGCGCCAGCCCAAGCGCGAAGCCGCGCAGACAAGCAGCCTAAGGGTCAAGCAATCAAGCAACAAGCAGCAGGAGCATGCAGGAGGAATAAAATCCCTTAGACGCGATACCCGGAGGCAGCCGACTGACCACTGTCAGTCGAGACGTCCGCTGCCGCCACAAAGCGGGCGGCCGCGGACGGAGAAAGGGCAGCCGCCGACAAGGAGCCGGCCGGGCGCTGCCCGGGGGTCCGCCTGGGGCAGCGGACGGAGGGAGGCTGGACACATGAACACGGTACCGCTCGAGGTAGTCCTCCTCGCTAGCCTCCAGCAACGCTAAGGGCCCGCGACCCCGGCCGGTTCCCCTCTCGCGGGCCAGGAGATACCAGTCGAGCATCTGAGCATAGCGGTGCGGGAAGGCCTTGAGGGGGTAGTAGCTCGAGACACGCTAGACTGCAAGACCCTATCCTGCGACTTGAGCGAGTGTGTCCTGCGGCTGTGCAAGGTGAGGATATCACGCTGCTGATCGGTCAGCGCAGCCTGGCAGCGCGAGCATGCACATGGCGAGGGGAGACGCGCATGACAAGAGGGGTCACTGCCATGTCCGGCGCTGCGCACTGAGGCGGAGGCAAAACTTCGCCGGAGGTCTCCGACTCCGATGGGGGAAACCTTTCGAGTGGCGCCGTAATGGCTGGCGAGGCGTCTCCGTCCCTCACTGTGACGTCGGGTGCCGTGCTTGCCCGAAAAGAACCAGCACTGCTGGCACCCAGACGCGGCACCGCTTGCCCAAGCGCGAAGCCGCGCAGACAAGCAGCCTAACTAAGGGTCAAGCAATCAAGCAACACATGGCATATCCAGCGCGACTCAGTTTGCGAATCTTCTCCAACGCTGCAACATGGAGGGCGTCGAGGTATATTCTCCCCGTTCAAGGCTTTTCGGGCTTGTGTTTTGTGTGTGTTTGCCAGTGCAGCTTCTCGCTGTGAGCTGTGTGCAAGCAGGTTTAGCTTGTTCCTGCTTTGTTTTGCTTGAGGCACTTTTTACCTTCTGCCAGTACTACTTGAAATCCGGCCATGTTACTCCCCCCACTTGGTTAGGTCGGCTCACAATGAGTTTTACCCGCAGTGGTAATTGCGAAGATGATTTACTGGCCGCGAAGGTAAAAAGTGCCTCAAGCAGTGGTTGATGTCCAACCTCCGAGGCTTCCTCTATATTCATGAGCGCTGAGTCTCGTCCTCATGTCACTGCGTCTCACCTTTCGGTGAGACTGCAGAGCTTTGGCTGACTTGTCTTGTGTCTTTTTGCTGCAATTCTCGAAGATTGACTGGCAGAAGCCTGGTAAAAAGTGCCTCAAGCAAAGCCCGCCGAGGAACGGAAAGTAAACCTGCTTGCACACAGCGCACAGCGAGAAGCTGCACAATCACACACAAAACACAAGCCCGAAAAGAACCAGCACTGCTGGCAACCGTCAGCACTCGGACCCGGCATCGCCAGCCCAAGCGCGAAGCCGCGCAGACAAGCAGCCTAAGGGTCAGGCAATCAAGCAACAAGCAGCAGGAGCATGCAGGAGGAAGACGCAATACCCGGAGGCAGCCGACTGACCACTGTCAGTCGAGATGTCCGCTGCCGCCACAAAGCGGGCGGCGGGCCGCGGACGGAGAATGAGTCGGAATCCGGGGACACCTGACAGTGGCACTGAGCACTGCTCCCCCCGGGCCCCCCGGGCCCCGGCGGCGGGCCCGGAGTCCGGGCCCGGCGCCGCCCGCGGGACTGATAGTACCTCCGCCACCGTGGCACCCGTGACGGAGGCTAGGGCCCGCGGGCCGGCGACTCGGCGCCGGGTCACTGATGAGTAGCCTGGGAACTTCAACGGCAACGCCCGCGTGACTTTGGCATGATCGTCTTCGTGACCGGCGTGGTCGCCCCGGGAAGTTGACCAGCCGGCCAACAACCACCCCCACCCCTTTTAGATGCTTCAAGTACCCCGTTGTCCGCTAGAACATTGTGACGCCTCTAGCTCGATCTTGAAAGTTGATAGACCAGTCAAACCTCCTCATGCTGACAGACATTCAGATACAATCACGCTACCTCTAGCGACTGCTGACGGATGGGAGTGTCATCACTGTACAGAGACTCCTTATACTGCAGCGTTTCAATATCACTCGTCTCCTCGGAGCTAGTCTCGTCGCCGTAGCCCGAGGGACTACCCCACTGCTGACATTCTTATCTCTGGCTTTCTATCACTCACCCCTCCTTTCTAGTCTTTTCTGACTGTACCCTCAATTAAGTACCCCTTCTCTTGGACCCCCTACCTTGTAAATCAGCAACTGGCAATTGCAAGCAGCACATTTGCCCTCTTCCTTTGTTCTGTCTTGTCTCCTTCAATGTTTCCTCATGCCTTTCCTCATGATTGGTTTCCCTCTCGACCTCCTAGACCAACATACCCTCCTTTCTCCACCCCTACCCCCATTTAAACCGTCACCCACCTCTGTTTCTCGCTGACCAGGCTGACAAATGAACAAGGTTGCGACTGCTCTACCAAAGTAAAGAGGGTCAGAGAAATCATTATGCTGACATTGACTCATACATTTTACAATGTTTCGAAGGAGGTACCTGTCATCAAATCTATCTGCTGACAAATTTGTACTGCAGGGTAGTCTCATGCTGATTCATATGCTGACCATTTACTCCAGTACTGAAATGAAATAGTGTTATTTCACTATTCTCTCCGACAATTGAAGCGGCGTTAAGTACCAGGAACTGTCAGCACTGTCATCAGCCCCCCCCACCACCTTTTAAAACCCTCAGGCGCGCTCCCGTCTCCACCACCTTCTCCTCCTTGTCCTCGCACACGCGCTCCTTCCTCGTCTGCTGCATTGAGAACCCCCACAACCCCCCACCCCCTCCAGCCCACTTCCTAACCCCCCCCCCTCCTCTCACGTCCTTCCCTTCTCGCCTCCCTCCCCTCCCTCTCATCAAACCCTCCTCAGCTAGTTGAAATGCCTCGCCCACGCGCATCGCCTGAGAACCTCAGCCTGGCATTGGAGCTGTCTAGGATTGTTACAACTCGTGATGGTACGACAGAAGAAAACTTCGTCGCGCGCCATGGCAGCGCGAGTCTCTTCAGTGCACTTGCGAGGTGCGTTCCTCCCGTGGTGAGGACTACAAACTCTTCATCCTCAGACCGAACATCCATTTCTGAGGCTGAGATGCTGCGGATGCTTGAGACTCAGGACAACAAAGAAGAATTTGTTCGTTTCCGAAACAGGAAGGGGCTTAGAAAATCAGAAGATCCCACCGGAGCCGGCGTGAGCATGTTTATCGGGAGACGCTGGAGAGATCCTGAAGATGCATCTGACCGTCGCGTACTGGAGGAAGGGCATGCAAAGCTTCAATCTTCTTTCCCGATCTATGCGGCTCATTGCTCGATCTCGAAGTTGCTCGAGGTCGTTCGTTCAATCCGTCATAGCTGGAACCTTCTGTGCATGGAGTTGGATGCTCGTGAAGCTTCCCGATCGCCGTCACAGAGGGAATCTGAGTCGCTCAAGACAGATTCGTATCATTCAGAGTCCTTCTCTGCTGTTTTCCCCCAGGCGTCCGTCGAGTGCGGCAAGAGATTCCGCCATGAGTTCGAGCAGTCGGCTGGGTCCCTCAGCATTGGCCACGTGGAGTATCCCCCGGTTTACCACACGGTTGGGTCGGTGCAGCTGAATGGCCTTGAGAACGGATGCGACGTGAGGCCTGTGAGCGAGTCTCCGCCAAGTGCTCCCTACTTCTACCCTGTGCAGCTCCCCAACGACCATGGCGACATGAACAGCTGGGGCAATAAGAGAATGCGGCATGATGAGGAATGGCGCCAGCCCCTCAGCTGCGAGGCTGCGAACCGAGTACAGATGGTTCAGCACGAGTGCCCTGTGATGGCTCACTCGCAGGACCTGCGCAGCTCTCACTGTCAAGACTTTGGCACCTTGTGCGTACTCGAACCTATGGGAGGAACGTTGATAGTGAGAGAATCAGCCTGCCGCTCCTACATGGGCGAGGAGAGGACCTATCAGCTACCGGTTGACAGCCAAGCCATGTGGATGGACTTACACGCCAAATCTGTTTTCGATGACTTCGATTTCGTGAGAAAGAGTGACGACTGGTACGGATGGAACAGACTTGCTCATTGTCCTCAGCCCGTGCACTCTTGATCGGATTGCGGTGCTTTGGGACTATTTTTCGCATTGTTTTGATGTAAATTTTCAATAGAATTCATTCAAACATGATTGTAGTGCTGATTCACTGTCAGAACTGATGACCTTGACCTTGTCATGTTCGCCCCTCAGCGTGCTTCCCAAACAACTTCTCGTAGATGTCGTTGAGCGGCTGTGTCGCTCTGGTTAGCACCATGGAGAAGGGGAGGGCAGGGAGAGGCTCACCTTGTTGGGAGCATTGTTGAGGTAGTTGCGAGTCTCGAGCGAGTTGATCACCCATCTGCAAGCTAGTTGACCAGCTGGAGCAGCAGCAACAAACGAACCCGAACAGACCGAAGAGACTGCGCATGATGTGGGCAGTGCGCCATTGAGTGAACTTGGCCTGGAACTCTTCACCTAGAGTCCACTTGTACCACTCGGGAGATCGCAGGAATGAGCTGCAGCGACGTGTGACCAGCTCCAGGTCCAGCTCAAAGCAAACCTCGTGAGCACGTCATCCAAAGGCGTGCAGACAAGGTTGGTGATGAAACAGATGGTGTAGGACGCAATCTACATGAGCCGTCAGACTGAGAAGATCAAATTCCTGTGCGTCACCAAGAACATGTCGAGCCAGAATTGGTACCTTCCACGAAGCATCCAACCAGCCATCTGATCCTAGATCACAAGTCAGTCGCTGTGCTTGTATGTAACTTCGCCATCACCTTTGAAAACTTGTCCAGAGCTCCAACCAATGCAACAGAAGACAGAAACAAGAAGGCCCTCTGATACATCATGAGAAAGTAACAATACTTTCAAAGAAAACTGACTTGTGTGTCATCTGCTATCGGAGAAAATGATCTCAGAAATGAGCGTTGATCAGTATGCACGATCAAGTAGAAATGAATGATTCCGATCCCTCCGAGAATTCCCTTCAAGTCGGTCAGCTGAGCACGTTTTGCACTGAAAATTTTGTGGGACCTGGCAGAATATGAAACTTGAGGCGATCAGGGCAGCGATCAAGTCGAGGCAAGTTTCAAGGTTCTTGTCTCGCCCATGCCTGCACGTTGACTCAAGTCAATCGAGGGCTGCAGCAAACGAGGGGACAAGACAAGTAAAAGCACCTTCCTTGACTCAACAAGAACGACTTCGAGTCATCTCTGTGTTGCTTCTTCCGTCGAAAAACCTTGGCAAGAGTGAGCAAAGGGATCCAAGATCAGCTTCCATCACTCCAGTCCCGGTCGCCTCGACATAAACATCGGTCTTCCCCTGACACCAACATGAGAGAGCACTTGTAGCAACACAAGGGAAACACCTGCATGGCGGAGTCTTCTTCTTTGCCTCCCAAGACCTGGTGTCGCATTAACCGCTTGCAGAGCTTGGAACATGGAGCTACCGGGATGCTGACGTCTTGCTCGTTCATCAGATCTTCTGGGCTCACATGCGGGAGAGTGAAGGATTCCGCGTGGCCTAATCAAGTTTTACAGCTCCATACACGCATGCAATCAGTTCACCTCTCTCAGCATTCCTCCCCCGGCTTCTTGACCCTCCAACTGCTTCTGCACTTGCCTGAGCACCAGCCTTGGTATCGCCCTGGCCTCTCATCACCACAAGAAACTCTCGCGGAAAGAAGAGGGAAGAGAGGAACCTGTTCTCGAGCAGAGGCCTGCTTGCCTTCCTCCTCCTTCACTCGAGATGCTTCATCAGCAGATATCTGCGATGAAACTATTCAGCGCATACAAGCCACATGCACTCTCATTCTCCGTGGACCTCGGTGTCTTTTGCCGCAGTTTGTTCGTGCTCATCCTTGGGCCTGTAGCAGCGGCGTTATCTCGAGTCAGGGAAGCAGCGCAATGAACATGTTTGCTGCTTTTCCCTCCTGTCGGTGTCTTCCTCGTCTCCTCCCCTTGTCCTCGTCAGCCTTGTGTTCGTGATCCAAGTTCGAAGTATCGTCCGTCTCTTGAGCCTTATTTGTCGAAGAAGAAGTTCTTTCCGGAAGATTTTCATCCTGTTTGCCCTCGTGGTGCTTCTCTCGTCTCCTCCTGCTCTTCTTCTTCCCTTCTGTTTCCGACGCATCCAAGGATGGCAGTTGCCGAGCATGCGGCAGAGGCTCAGCGGCACCTCCTCCTCTCACCCATGGGAACTCAGACGACATGATTGGTCAGCAATCGAAGCCTCTGAGAATTCGTAAGCTCCAACGATGGCTCGCTGCCTTCCACTGGCCCTTGCAGTGATCCTAGTCAAGTTCTCCAGCTCCTGCTCGATTCTTACAAGCCAATCGATGGATAGATGTGTATTAAATCTGAACGAGCTCAGCGCTCTTGCTCGTCTCTTCCTTCCTCTCACTGTTTTATCGCCTTCTCCTCTCCTCTCCTCTCCTTCTCTCCCCTCCTGCCCCCCGCCTCCTCTCCTTTGCCTTTCCCGCCATAACCGCCGGTCCCTTCCAGACAGCCCCAACACAAACACTACAGGCAGTACTACCCCTGGTAATAGGCCGTTTTGGGGGTAGAGGGTCCAACGAATTCTTTGTAGGGGTATTTTAACAGGAAAAGGAGGGGGTAGTCAGGTGTATTCGAGGTGGTCAGCAGATCCGCAGGGCCATGGCAAACAAAGCAACGCCGGTGCTAGTGTGGCTGGCGATGGCAGCGACTGTGAGCGCTTATCAAGGAGGAGGAGTGAGATGGCTCAAGACTCCTTGCTTGCTCACCCATGCAGCCTCCCATGCCTCCCATGCCTCCCTGAGGCCTAGGGTTCCTGCAGCCGCTGGCAGGGGGGCAATGTCGACACTGCGGATGGGGAGGATAGGCGGGGAGGCAGAGGCAGAGGAACAAAGGACCGTCAGGAGAACCTTCCTGCAGCTCGGAACAGGTGTAGGAATGATCTTGCTAGACGCCGTCCTTCCTGCGGGTGCCAAGGGACCCAAGAAAACCACGGAGGACGTTGTGACATCCTTCGGGCAACTGGTACAGGCGCAAGGGACCATTGAGAAAGCAGATGCTCTCGCACAGAAGAGTGACTGGGAGGGAGTGAGAAGTTTGTTCAAGCAAGACGAGATCAAGAATATTGAGAACCTCCTCCTCGACCTGGTATCTCTTGCCGCGGTCGGACCCTTGAAGCGTTCTAACTGGAGGGGTACAGGTGAATGGGCCAGTGATAAGTGCCGAGGACAAGAAGACGATCGGGACGAGGAAGAGGTACGGAATCGCTGCTGACGTCATCTACGGCATCGATGGCGTCCTCTCTGGCATCGATTCTCTCTCTACCCCGCAGGTCCAGAATTGCTCGGCAGGCTCGTGCAGCGGGGAGCTGGTGGAAGGGGAGGAGGAGATCAAGAAGTCCTTTAAGAACCTCAAGGCCTCGCTGAGCGAGATCCTCACCCTCTGCCGAGCTTACAAGGAGCTCAAGTAGCCTCCACCTCCTCCTGGTTTGCGACGGGTCGAAGCCTCTACCAACTTGTAAGCCAGTGCGTGTGCGGAGGGGCAACTCGAGCTTGTCTCGGGGAGTTTGAGAGTAAAGAATGCAAGCAAGAAGAAGAGGAGGGAGCAGAAGCTAGCAGAGCTGATTCTGCTTCTCCAACACCAGCTGGTGGTTGAAGAAAACCTTGACGTAGTCCACGCGCTTCCCCGCGTGCCCATCCTGCAACCTGATCTCGCAGTTCATTCCCCCGTCGTCGTTGAAGGCTCGGAATGATGCTCGATGCTCCTGATCGACCTGCAGCTCATACCGCACCTGCCCGTTCTTCATAGCCTTGAGCGTGTTGCCGTTCCGCTCCTGCCCGTCGTGGTCCAAGGGAGGCTCGTGGTTGGCCAGCACCTTAAACGCGTGCTGGATGGAAGGGATCGCGCGGTAGATGGCGGCGAGTTGCCGATCATGAACGAACTTGAGGCTGCCGACGCCGACTGTGAGCTCGTGGAACTTGCTAAGCACACCTGTGATGAGCTCCATGTTCTCTTGCTCCACGTTGAGGCTCGGGAGAAACTTTCCGCTGTCACGATTCGCAATCAGCCCGACCGGGAGGGAGCAGGGAGGCAGGGCGCCGCTGGGGGCCTGGTAGAGCGCGAGATTGTCCTCATCAGCCTCCCACTGGATGATGAGGACGATGAACTTCCAGCTGCTGCCATGCTGCTCGTCCATCTGGCGAATGAAGTTGGGGATCTCGTCGCAGAGGTTCTTGTAGTAAAAGATCTCAGGGTTGGTGATGGCGATAAATCGACGATCCGTCGTCTTCAAGATGCTTCGATGATCTCGCGAGACAACGTAGGCTGGCACCATGGTGTCATAGCTCCAGCTCAGAATCGCCTTATCCGACATCATCGACCCGCACAAGTCGTACATCTCCTCAGCTCCCAGGAACCTCGTCCAGGTGGGGAAGTCAAGGTAGGCAGAGACCGAGTCGGGGTAGGCCAGGAAGCGCTGGCTCATAGAGCCTCGCTTCATCATGATCAGCTCCTTGATGTTCTCCAGACACTTGCTGCTTCCTGCCGCGCTGCCGACGATTCGAAGGCCCTCAACCTCGATGAAGCCTTTGTCGATGGACTCTTGGGAGAAGCAAGTCTGAGGGACGGAGGGGTCGAGAGAAGGAGCGATCATGACATCGCCCGCGAGAACCTTGAACGCGCTTTCCTTGCTGTATGGGATACTGAGAGGCACGTGGAAGCCTCCATGCTTGTACAGAACTTCTAAGGCCAGCAGCTGCATGGCAGTCTGGTCCATCTGCCAGGGTTGATCGGTGTACATGTTACAGCAGAAGTAGTCGCCTTTCAGTTCCTGCATGCTACTCCAACACTTGTACGTCCAGCCCTCGTTCTGACGGCAAAACTCTTCCGCCCAGCTCTGGATCCATCGCTCCGGCTTGCTGCCCTGGAAGGCGAACTGATGGATCACCTTGGGTATCTTCGCTCCTGGAGCTGCTGAACCAGCGTCGGGGAGGGGAACGAGCTTGCCGAGCGGCCACTCGAGCTCCTTGAGCTGGGGACATTTATCAAGCCAGAAGTTGTCGAGGGTGCAACGCCTGATGCTGTTGGCTACCCAGCCCTGCAAGCCGCTGCAGGTGTAGCCGAACTGAAAGGCGTAGGAGTGAGGAAAGTCCTTGAGGTTGATGGCGTCAGGGTTCGGGACGTAGTGGAACTTGGGGTAGAACCTGCGACAAGTCAGCTGGAGACGGCAAGAACAAGCTAGCTGAGGAGACGGCAAGAACAAGCTAGCTGAGGAGACGACAAGAACAAGCTAGCTGAGGAGACTCACCAGACCTGCGGTGGAACAGTCCACGGCATCTGAGTGTGGGAGATGCACTTAGTGAAGGCCAGAGGTCCAGTGACCCACTCGACGCCATGATAAGGACGTTTGTGCGGGTAGACTCCCTGGATGTACTTGATCAACATGTCCACCAGTGGATGCTTGGGGGTGCAGGCGATGAAGCTGTTGCCGATGACGGAGTAGGGCTTGTCTTTGGTGTCTGGCTCATAGCCGCAGAAGAAGCCTGTGTCCTTGCTGGCATCGAGCACGTCCTGAAGGTCCTTCTGCAGCCACACCATGTCCGCGTCAATGTAGATTCCTCCTTCTCTCCACAGAATCTCCAGCCGCAGCAGGTCAGCCTTGCACTGATACATCCGCTCGCTGTCATAGAGGTCCTGCGTTCTCAGCTGGAGCTCAGCTACTTCCTGGTCTGTCCAGAGCTTGTACTCCCAGCCCGGATAGTGTGACCTGTACTTCTTCCTCCAGGTGTCCAGCCAGACGATCTACAAGACAGCAAGTCAGAGGGCGAGAACAAGAGAGTCTCACAAGACAAGACGGGGGATGTGCGGAGAGTATGAATGGATTGCGCAAGGTATACCGGAGGTTGCTTGGGACCGATCCAGATCTGATGGATCTTCTTGGGAATCTTTTCTCCGATCCCTGTGTTCTTCTTGAGAAAGTCACTCATGAAGTTTCTCCACTCCTCCGCGTTCTCCACAGAGCATTCTCGATGATCCCAGTTGTTGAACTTGGCGATGTTGGCGATCTTCAACGGGGGAAAAGGACTCTCTTGCTCGCTGCCGCCTTTCAATCGCAGGAGTCCGTGACGGGACGAGACAGCAAGAGGAGCGAGATAGGCAGTGGAAGAGGCCTGGGGGGAAGAGATCCGCAGCCATGATGGAGAGGATCGCTCTGCTGAGCTCCCTGGTGCCGCCATTGCCGCCATTGCCAAGCCAAGCAACAACGCGGCCATGGCGGGTAAGTAGGAGGGAGGAAGAGACTTTAGTGGGTCAAGGGGTTAGGGGTCACAGAGCGACCTCGAAGTACGGGTACGTTTAGCTGAGATAGTATGCTACAGGAGATGGTGGGGTAGTACTGCAGGGGTCATCAAAGGGGATATAAGGGCCTAGTGAAGGCGTAGGAGGGGGAGGAGGGAGAGACTGAAGGAAAAGATAGGATGAGACTGAAGGGAGAGATAGGATGAGACTGAAGGGAGAGATAGGATGAGACTGAAGGGAGAGATAGGATGAGACGGGAGGGAGGGAGAGATAGGACGATTATCGTAGCGAACTCAACCAGGATCTCCTACTTGTTATCTGTGGATCTAGAGGGGGTGGTGGGTTGGATAGCAGATTGGAAAGGGAGTGGGGCAGACTGTGTTGGAGCACCGGGAGGAGTGAGGAGACGGGGAGATGGTTGACAGGGAAGCCGGGAGGGAGGGACTGAGGAATACTATGATCTAGTAAATGAACTAAGACGAGGGATGAATGGTTAGTAGTGGTAGAATAACAAGTAGCTGGACATAGGAGATGCGTCCTGGTGAAACAAGGAGAACGGGTGGGGAATGACTTGTAAGCAGCTCGTGCTTCTACTATGATTAAAAACAAGCCAATGATCTTCACTGCTAAAGAGATTCTCAGTGTGTATCTCGGGTAAGTGTCAAAATCACGCTACAATCAACAAGTTCTATCTTCCATCCATCATTGACTCTGAGTCTTGAACGTTGAAGTGATGAGTCCGTGGCATCAGTAGTAGGGGGCTTATGGGCACCGGAGACCTTAGACCTCAGGATTAGCTCCTGGTACAAATGTTCAGTGGAAACGTTTTGAATTCGAACATGCAATGCGAATGTCAGTGTACATGGTGAGGACTCCTATGATGAACGGGTTTCATGAGGTAAACTTGCAGAATGGCAATGAATGAATGAATCATTGGCTTCGCCTCGATGCATTATTGATCGACCAACACAAATGGATACCGAATTCTCCGGGGGGTACAGCAAGGCAAGCTTCCTATTCATCCTGGATTCGTAAAAGAACTGAGTCTGACGCCATCACGACGGTTCTGAGTAGAAGCGAGTTGAGCTGAGGTGTGTGGACATCGTTGCACTGAAGTTGAGCAACAGATATTCAGTACATGTGATAGTTGTAATGTGCATCTTAACTTCGTTCCTGTGTTCATTGTAATTGGAACATGAGTAATGTAATCGGACCATGCAACATCTGGTGCGTATTATGCCCTTCTTCATCATGCTTGTACTTGCTTGTAACATCAGCTACAACAGCGTAAGCTAACGGCTCACACCTTGCAAGCGCTTGTTCTGCGCAAGCATTTCAGTTTCACTACTAATCCAACACTTCCAAAAATGAATTAAAAAGAGAATTTGTACCATGACCTTAACTTTTAGAGTTTTATTATTGAGTGATTTTAGATCGAAACTCGATTACTTTTTTCCTATATCACACAGCATCACAAGGTATCAGCTGCATGAGCGGGGATGAGGGCAGGCTAGTGGGGAGACTTCGGTACATTTGGGGATGGCAGGGGAGGAAAGCGGAGGTGAAGGGGCATGGCTGCTAGGAGAGGAGAGGAGAACGCCAAGTGGAGCTCAGGAGTGGAAGGGAGGAAGGGAGGAGGAGGAGGCGGCGGCTGATGACAGCATGGAAGGAAGTAAGGATGCCTGTCGAGGTGAGGGACGGCTTCTGAGTTCCCCCCAACCTGTGTCTTGTGTCTTGTGGTTGTGGCTAGCAGGCAGTGGAGTTGGCGCCATCGTGCTTGGGGCGAGCTTGGGCTTCTCGTCGCCGACCATGGCTGCAGTGTACAATGCGAGTCAAGGGGACGAAGGAAGAGGATGTGTTGATTGGCAAGGTCATGAAATATCAGAAAACGCAAAGATGCTCAACTGCGAGCTTGCGCTGTCAGACAGCATGTCGTCCTGGTTTGGCTCCCTTATCAACATCGGAGCTCTTCTAGGAGCCATGGTGTCCTCCAGCCTGCTGGATCGCTTTGGCAAGAGGGCGGGGATGTTGCTGCTTCACAGTCTCTACGTCGTTGGGTGGGGTCTGTGTGCTGGGGCCCCTGGTCATGCAGCCACATCGTTGGCGAGAGCAGTGGATCGCGGGCAGGTTGTCATCATGCTGGTGCTCTCAAGGCTCTTCATCGGCATCGCCGTCGGCATCGCCTGCGCCTCCATTCCCAACTATCAAGTCGAACTTGCGCCTACGAATCTTCGAGGAGCGGTCGGGAGTCTCTTCCAGATCTCCGTCGTGCTGGGTCTCTTCTTCGTCTACCTCGCCGGCTGCTTCCTCGACTGGCGCTCCATGGCGGTCGCCCTGGTTGTACTCTCTGCTGGTGGCCTCCTCCTCCTCCTCTTCCTCCCCGAGACTCCCACCTGGCTAGCAAGGAAAGGCAGGTTGCGTGAAGCTCGCGCAGTGCTGGAACGAGCGAGGGGAGGGGGCGCTTACGATTTCGAGCTGAATGGACCACGAGAAGAGCAAGGAGTAGACGCCGGAGGAATCCTCAGCAAGAGATGCCGCAAGCCGCTGCTGATTGCCGTCGGGTTGATGTTTGTGCAGCAATGTGAGAACTTGTGTGTGGTGTGTGACTAGTCTGAGAGTTGGGGAGCAGGGAGCGGGATCAACGCGGTCATGTTCTTCTGCGGGAGCATCCTGCAGAGCGTGTTCTCGGACTCAGCGGAGGCAAACGAGTACTCCATCGGCATCCAAGCCCTCCAGGTCCTCGTTACACTCGTGGCTGCTCGCTTCATGGACTCGGTCGGTCGGAGGCCTCTGCTGCTGGTGGCAGCCCTTGGGCTGAGCTTGTCCTCGCTCTCACTCTCTCTTTTCTACCTCGTCGGCCAGCAGTGCGACTCTCAGGGCTGCTCGCAGGTCATCCCCAAGCCCGTCGCCGTCGCCTCCTTGTACGCTTACATCCTCTTCTTCTCCTGTGGCATGGGCGCCATCCCCTGGTTCATCCTGTGAGAGCGCGAGAGTCTGCCATTTCCTCAAGCCTGACGCATCTTGCAGCGGCGAGATCTCTCCTCCTCATGCACAAGCCAGCATCAGCGCCATCGCGACGTCAGTCAACTGGATCCTCTCCTTCTCCATCACCAAGTCGTTGGAGCCTCTGACTGAGCTGCTGGGCGGGGCTGGGGAGGGGCTGGGGAAGGTTTTTCTCTTCTACAGCTGCGTCTGCCTGCTGGGAGCCTGCTTCATCCACGCGTTCGTGCCGGAGACCAAGGGGAAGAGCTTCGAGGAGATTCAAGCGATGCTGCACGGAGAGAGCGCGGAGAAGCAAGATTTAAAAACAGCAGCATGAAAATTGAAAAATCACAGCACGAAAATCGGAAAAAAGCATCATGAAAATTGAAAAGAGCAGCACGAAGATTGAAAAACTGCAGCATGCGGTGAGCGAGAGGATTTTCTTTCTCTTCCTCTCCCTCTCATGATTCCCGTCAAATTTTGCCTGTAAACAAGTTTCCCTTCCACCTTGTCTGCTAGCACGTAAAACTCTCAGCGGTAGTAGAGCAGGAACGTTCGGATCTGCGACCTCAGCGTCACTCCAGCTCTCCTCCAGCTGTCGCTGCGCACCTGAAGGGGGGCGAGTTTGATCTTCTTGTGCTCCCCGACGGGTTCGCCTCGGAACAAGTGAGACCTGCTGGCCTGACTCTCCTCGGGCCTCCACCGCCTCCTCCTCTTCTCCATCTCCGAGCGCAACTGCGAGGGACTTGAGCCAAAGAAGGTCGAGGAAGCTAGAAGAAGCGAAAGACGCAGAAGACAGAGGGACAGGAAGAGGAAAGAAGCAAACACAAAGAGAGCTTCATGACAAGGTCACCTGGTTCCCGCTCAGCGTCAACTCGTCGACCTTGAACGGATGCGAAAGATGAGCAACCTAACGACCGTCAGCACTCCTCCTGCTCCTGCTCCTGCTCCTGCTCCTGCTCCTGCTCCTGCTCCTGCTCCTGCCCCTTCTCACTGCCTCTCATCATCCGAACCTGCATTTCTCTCGCTCTCTCTCCTTCTTTTTCCTTACCTTGAACAATCTCGCCAACGACACAGTCGCTGGTTGTGAAAGAGTTCCATGCTCGCCAATACCAAACTTGTGCGCAACTCGGAGGAGGACTGTATACTCCCCGTGCGTGTTGAGTGGCTGCTTCTCGATGGTGAGGATGGCGATGTTGGGGGGAAGGGAGTGAAGACTGCCGGAGGAGCTGTTGCACATCCTTGAGCCCTGTCGGATGGCAGAGGCGAGCTGGTGGGCCTTGCGGGAAGACGCGAAGAGCACAGGCTCCAAGTAGATCTCATCTTGAACTCGTCGGTACCTGCAGGAAGCTCCTCAGATTGTCTCCCCTCCCATCCCCCTTCCCCTCCTCCCCTTGAACCATCATCATCTCCAGCTTCTCGTGCTCGTCTCTCCCTCTCCTCTCTCCTCTCGTCCTACCCCTCTGCTGCCGTCTCAGGCGAGGCGACAGCGAGCACATGCTTCCCTCGCACGACCAGCCCCTTGCCGATCCTGTACGGCTCGTGATGCACGTTATGATCCTCATCCTCCCAGTCATAGGGGGAGATAGACTGCGACAATAATCACGTTCAACCACAAGCACCTCCCGCTCCTCCTCCCGCTCCTCCTCTTCTTTCAGCACCCTCCTCCTCCTCCTCTTCTTTCAGCACCTGGGTTTCATTCAGGGGCTCCTGAACTCCTCGATTGTCATCGAAGAGCAGTCGACGATGGACCATCAACTCTAGCTGCCCGTCTACCAGACTTGTTCCTCCTTGGGCCCGGTCCACCAAGACAGCTACCTTGAAGGTCAGCAGGACGACCAGCGGGAGAGTAGAAGGGATGGCGAGAGGAGGTCAAGAATGGGAGGGAGGGGGGGAAGGGGTTAGAACCTAGCGAGGCCCAGGGGTCTTGGATTGCAATCATCGTGTTGACTGGAAAGAAATTCCCCGCCACAGGTTGCGTGACGTTGTAGCTGGGGACAGACGGGCGACATTGGGAGTCCTGGGCGTAGAGGGAAGTAGAGCACCTCCTCCTCTCCAAGATGTCTCGCCCGTTGGAGTCAGTGAGGAAGGAGGACGAGGACGAGATGTTGGTCTGAAACCGAGATATCACCTACCTCTGGGTCAGAGCAACTCACCCCTCCCTCAACCCCGTTACCTCCTTGCCTTGCAGGTCCTCCACAGGAATCGGCCCCACAGTCCATTCAACTTCCACCTCCTTGGAGAAGGAGAAGAGGCGGACGGTCTGGATCGCCCACTCGCTGAAGGTCTGGTGCACCTCCACAGAGCCCTTTCCTTCCTTCACCTTGATCGTCGCCCTGCAGTCTCTGCTCACACATCGCGCGTCCTGCCCGTCGGCTGCGGTGTGGTTGGGCCGGAAGATGTATGCTCCAGAGCGCTGCACGTTCTCGCCTTGAGCCGACTCATACCAGAAGAAGTTCTGCGAGAGCTCGATGCTCACTTGCTGCTCCTTGTTGAGGAACGAGGACAAGAGGCCGGAGGTCATGTTGAAAGTGACCTTGACAAATTTGTTCTCTACCACCAGCTGCTCCTCCGCTTCCTCCGTCCAGACCGCCTTCTCGAAGCGTCTTGGTGCCTCCTGCTTCTTCCGAGACTGATTCGGCTGGATCAGAAAGGCCCGGAAGCACAGGGGTGGGAGGAGAGCAGGGAAGGAGAGGACGAGAGACGAGGCGATATCGGCATGTTGCAGCTCCTGTAGCGAACTAGCGAGAGGAGTAGGAGGAAGAACATCTGACGCAATGACTTCACCCGTCTCAATCGCTGACACCTCTAGAGCCGATGAGTCCACAGGGACCCGGACCTGAAGCTGACGCTCAGCTGAGAGCGGGTTATATAGGACAACCACGAAGGAATCTCCTGCCCCGGAGGCCGAGGAGGAAGGCTGGCAGACAGTCTCGTTGAGTAGATGGCAGACCGTTAGAGACTTGTCCTTAGGCAGCCCCAGCATAGTTGCCATCCCCTCCTCAGCCGCCAAGTCTGCCACCAGACATCCAGCGGCCATTCGAGTGGCATAGTCGTATGCCACGTGCTGCATCTCAGTGCCGGAGACGGCGTCGTGATGCTGCGTGAGAGAGACGGCTGCTGCAAGAGGATCGACGTCTTGCCTGTCCATCCCGTACCAGAAGCGATACCATGGCTTTGACTTCCCCGCTCGCTTCAGTTGGGAACGCACATGCTTGTTGACAGGCAGGTCGGCGAGCAGCTGGATTTGACGCACAGCTTGCAAGTAGCCAGCCATCTTCCTCTCATACCGCTTCAAGGTTGGTCGGCTCGTGAAAAAGCCCGTCCAGTAGGAGTTGTCGTCGTTAGCGAGGGGCATGAAGTCGTCTCGCTTCACCGGCCACGTCAGGTTCTCCCGATGCTTCGCTGCCGTGTAGGTCGCGGGCGTGGAGTAGAACACGTTGACTCGACCGTCTTTGTTGACATGGTGGATGATCTTATCCAGATTCTTGTACCATCCGTCTGCATTCTCATATTGGAAATCGCTTCCCATCAAGAACATGATGTTCTGTGTAGGTGTTCCTGCCGACCGAGTGTTGTTAGCATAGCGCAGAGCAGTCTCAACAAACTTGTCGACGTAGAACTTCACGTTCTCATCCTCCATGCACTCGTCATCCATCACGGGAAATCCGCCATTGCACTGGTTCTGGTCGAAGCAGAACCCTGGCGGAGGCCCATACCCTCCGTCTAGAAACGCTCCGGTGAAGACTTGGGCGTCAGCTCCCCAGCTCGGCGAGGCCTGCCAGATCATCTCCATCTCGCGTCGCTCCGTCCGCCGCTTCGCCTCCTGCCAGTCAATGCGCGCAAAGTAGAGCGCGTCGAATCCCATCTCTGCCGACAGCAGCGACGCTTGGGTAGCCGAGTGTCCGAAGGGGTCGATCTGCCAGCCTATGCTCGGCTTGTAGTCAAACTGATCTTTCAGGAACCTGTGCCCGAAGGCCGTGTTTTCGATCATGCTAACAAAGTGTGTGCATGCCTCGTCGTGCATCGACCAGCCGCCATTGATGAACTCGAGTTGCCCCTTGTCCACCAACCCCTTCACGATCTCTCGTTTTTCGTCGCTTTGCTCAGTCCACCAACGTTGGAAGAAGGCTTGTTCCACGTACGTGAACTTTCTGTCCGCATTGAGCATGATCTCATCCAGCACGGTATCGAGGATGTACTGAACCCCTGCGTGCTGGATGGAGTTGTTCGCGCCGTAATAGTACTGGTCGACAGTCTTGAGCCATCCCACGTCGTCGTGGCTGTGGCAGATGAGGTGGACGTTGAGCCTGCCCTCCGAGGGAGCTCCCTGCGTCACACAGCCTGGTCGGTGCCGCAAGCTCTGCTCCTTCCTCCCTCCTCCCATCGGCAGTCCCGACGCCATAGCCACCCATACCGCCACCACAAACCCTCTCAGCATAGCAACCCAATCATCCCCCTCATTCCCAGCACTAATTTAATCTCCTGAGGCGGGCTAGGAAACTCATCACCCTCGTTCACTCGAGGATTTTGCCGTTCGAAGTTTCAAACATACACGCCTATCACCCCACCCCCTCCAGTACCTACATACCACCCACCATTTTCTCTTAAGATACCCCACCTTGATTTTTGTCTTGCCCCTTCTAGACTACCTTCATTTTGAACCTACATAGAAGGGGTACTTGCATAACCCCACCCACCTCCATGAAAAGCCTCAACGGACTTCTCAGACCCCAGTTTCACCACCCTCTATGCACTGACAGGAGCGAGAAGGAGAGGAGAGGAGAGGAGACAGAAGACAAGGAGACGAAGAGAGGAAGAAGAAGAGAAGAAGAAGAGTTGAACGGCGTTGGACGAACTTGCATCACACGAAGTATACCATCTCTGATCCTTCATTCATTCCTCAACATGGACGCATATGAAGTTTTGGAGAAGCTTGGCAGTGGATCCTTTGGGACCATTAGAAAGATCGTCAGGAAGTCAGACAAGAAGGTCCTGGTCTGGAAGGAGATCCGATACGGTAGAATGAACGAGAAGGAGAAAAGCATGTTGGTAAGCGAAGTGAACATCCTCCGCGAGCTCAAGCACCCCAACATCGTTCGCTACAAGGTTAGGTCGCTCTCTTGTTCTATTCCTGTTGATTCCGCCTTGTCAGGATCGCATCATCGATAGAGAGAGTTCAACCATCTACATCATCATGGAGTTTTGCGAGAACGGCGATCTTGCTTCGGTAGGCCCCGCGCTCCCCTTGCGGCCTGGTGTGACGAGCTTTCTGCCAGGTCATTCGCAAGTACAAAAGATGCGGCAAGCGGGTTGAGGAGTCAAGAATCTGGACCTTGTTCTTTCAGATCGCCTGTGCCCTGCACGAATGCCATTGCCGCAAACAGAAGATCCTTCATCGCGACATCAAGCCTGCGAACGTGTTCATTGACAGGAACAACGGCTTCAAGCTCGGAGACTTCGGGCTCGCAAGGGTGTTGAGCACGGAGACGCAGCTCGCCAAGACCAACGTGGGAACGCCCTACTACATGGCGCCAGAGCAAGTGAACGAGCTGCCCTACAACGAGAAGTGCGACATCTGGTCGTTGGGCTGCCTCCTGTACGAGATGGCTGCCCTCGCCCCTCCCTTCGAGGCTGCCAACCAGCTCGCGCTGGCTGTGAAGATCAAGGCTGGAAGGGTGTCACGGCTGCCCGAGCAGTACTCGGAGGAGCTGAACCAAGCTGTGCGATCGATGCTGCAGCTGGACAGCGCCAAGAGGCCAAGCATCGAAGATCTCTTCAAGCTCCCCAAAATGCAGGAGCAGGCCGAGATCGCTGTCCGCAACGCGTCGGCTGTGCCTGCCCAGTACGTTGACCGATACTTCTCGAGCCAGATGCGGAGGCTGCAGGCGAAGGAGGAGGAGATCTCGTCGAGGGCTCAAGACCTCGTCAACAAGGAGAAGGAGTTGCGAGGAGCCAAGTATGTGGACAGCGATGAGATCAAGAAGAGAGAAGAAGACCTCAAGAAGAAGGACGAGGAGCTCAAGAAGAAGGACAAGGAGCTTTCCGAGATGACTTCATCCTTCCAAGAGCGAATCAGAAACTTGGAGGCGAGAGAGAAGGCGGTGAGTTGTGCTGACGTGGCATCAGCCTGGTGTGACGCCTGCCGTCAGATGCTGGCGAGGGAAGAAGCCCTAGCGAGTCGAGACAGGAGCCTCAGCGACAAGGAGAAGCGGGTGGAGAGAGCCAAGCTCGAGTATCAGTCGCTGTGAGTTGACTTGTCGCATGCTGTGACGAGGTTGTCACATGACGGCAGGATGAGCGACCTGAAGAAGAGGAGGAAGGCGCTGGACGAGCAGATGGCGCGGGACCAGGACAAGGAGGCTGAGCGAAGAGACTCGGGCGACTTGGAGTACCCGGAAGCGAAGAACCTCTTCGATGCCAACAAGGTCTCCTCCTCCTCGCCTGCTCCTCTCCTCTCACTTTCCTTCAGCACGATAACTCAGAATTTGCTCACTGGAAGCTCGAGCGGCGCCACAGCTGCAGTGACGTGGAGTCGCCGATCCGATCGAGCTCAGAGCCGAAACGACAGGAGGAGGCGCCGGGGGGCTGCAACCCGAACCCGCAGTTTGCAGGGAGAGTGCGGGAGCTGCGAAGAATGTGCATGAAGAGCTCAGAGGAACCGCGATCTCCCACTCCTCATCCTCGTCAGGGCTACTTGTTCGAGAAGGAGGAGGAGGACGGGAAGAAGAAGGAGGAGGTGGGTAGGAAGATGACGGTCGACAGCAAGCGGCAGGCGATCTATGGAGCACTGTTCGGGAAAAGAGCTGGAGGAAAGGGCGAGCTGACGTCCAACGACAGCGACAGCGAGGAAGACTCGAGCATCGCTCCTGTGCGCCTCAACGGACGGTGAGCTGATGTTTGCCCTGGTCCGTTCCTGACGAGCTGTGACAGGCGCATGTTTGCGGCTCCTCTGTGCCAGGACATGGACTCGAGCATAGATTCACCGCTGACGTCTCGCTGAGCGAGGAGGCACCCAGAGGAGAAGGAGATGCGACTAATCAACTAATTAAACCAACTTCCCTCAGCTGTCTCCTCCCCTCCTCGTCATCTTGGCGACGAACAGACCGCTCGTCCCCGACGTCTCCTGGTCGAAGTACCAGGTGCCCTCGATGCCTCCTGGGCGGCAGGGGAGTGAGAGGTGCGACGGCATCTGCTCCATGCGGGCGTTGGGCTCGACCTGCAGGAACCAGGAGACGATCTGCTCGTTCTGTTTTTTGTCGAAGCTGCAGGTGCTGTAGATGAGGGAGCCGCCAACCCTGATAGACACTGAGATCAGAGCAGCGAGGAGGGGGGGAAGGGAGCGGTGGGCTGCGTTACTTGAGGTGTCGAAATCCGTTGACGAGCAGAGCTCGTTGAAGACTCTCGAGGGAGTCCAGACGTCCTTCTCTGTTCCAACGTCTCTCCATCGTCGACCAGCCCCACTTGTCTGTCAGCACCTCGCTCAGCTTGTCCCCACCCGAAATCTTCGCTACCAAACTTGGACATGTGACGTGAGGACGCGTCGTGCGTGCACTCAGCGTCGACGAGAACCTTGTCGAAGCCTCCATGACCCGCCTGCTATGCAGGAGGTGAGGGGCTCGAGCAGGGACAGAGTAGGGAGGAGAGAGGGAGAGAGGGAAGGAAGGTTAGGAAGGGGAGAGAGAGGGGGGGGAGATGAGAAGGAAGGA